CCGGCTGACGGGTGAACGTAGCCAGGTGTCGGCCTGTGCCAGCCTCTGTACAGTGGGTCACTCGCTGACGTGCAGGAGTGAACTGGTGGACACCCGCATCCTGTAGGTCAGCACCACTCACCAGGTTCGTCGAGAACGAGGGGAGGTAGAGACCAGACAGGGTGCCAGAGGGAGCCGCCGAACACGGGAGGACTGTGGAGAAACGAGACAGGACCGGACCCCCAGAGGGGTCAGCCAGAGACACCGCAACCGGCCGACTAAGCGGCGTGAGTGTGGTGCGGTCCCGAAAGAAGGAGCGAGACGCCCCAGAGTCAAGAGTGAAGGTGAGGGAGGCCGAAGCCGACGCGGTACCTGAGAGAGCAGACTCACCAGTACCTGAGGACGCAGACACACCAGCACCTAGAGCAGCAGCGTCGTAAGCACCTAGGGCAGTAGCCTCACCAGTACCTAGAGCAGCAGTCTCAATGCCCGGATCGGGCTGGAAACACCGGTAACAGTCACCCTCATCACTAATAGACACAGCATACATGGCAGAGAGAATAGCATCAAAGTCCAGATCAAAGATGGCAACCCCAGCCCTAGACAGCTCGTCCCAGCGAGGGATCTCGGAGGCCTCCGGGAACTGGTGACGCCATGCGTCCGTCAGGCGGCCAAAGCAGCGCGGAGTGGGGTGCGCACCCCCACACTGCTCACCCGCACGGTCGCCGGTGCGCAGGACGTAGGTACACGGACCAAAACCCCCACCCCGCTGGCGTGCAGTGTACCACTCACGGAGCTGCTGAGGGGACAGGGTCGCACGACCACGCTGCTGCTGCTGGCGCGAGCCACCACCGGAGCCACTCCTCTGCAAAGACCCGCGACCAGCTCCACCGCCACCCCCACCGCCTCCACCGCCTCCGCTGCCTCCACTGCCGCCGCCGCCTCCACCGCCTCCTCCACCGCCGCCTCCTCCGCCACCTCCGCTACCACCGCCACCGCCGCCGCGGCCTCCGCCTCCACTGCCGCCACCGAACCCCCCACCCCCACCTCCACCTCCACCGCTACCCCCACTCCCCCCACTGCCTCCACCTCCACCTCCACCGCCCGCTCCTCCAGCTCCCTTGCCCCCCTTGCCCTTGCCAGGGCGGCGTCTCCCGCTAGGGGCAGACGCCGCACCGACCGACTCAAGACCAAGGAGGTCGGCCGAAGCAGCAGAGGCAACAGAGGGCAGCAGGGGGGAGGGAGAACACCCCTCAAAGATGGGGGTGCGCGGGTCACCTCGAGAGGCTCCTACAGCGACTATGCTCTTTTCTATCGCGAGGAGGGCCTTCTCGAGGAGGTCTACAGTGAGTGTGGTGGGACAGACTGAGAGAAAGTGGTCCCTGACTACTCGAAGGGAGTCAGGGAGGCGAGTGACTAGGAAGTACAGAGTGATGTACATGGGGGGGGGGTTCGCGGTGCAGAAGTCAGCAGGAAGTGCAGCGCGGTAGCGAGTGTCACTAGTGCGGAGGTGCGTAATGAGGTCAGCAACGGTGGGAAAAGAAGCAAGGTCAGGGAAGAGGTACGGCAGCATGAGACGGCTCAGTGCAGCAGTGGAAGGGGAGGAGTAGCGCGCGACTACAGCGGCGTACAAGGTCTGAGCACTCTTGTACTGACTAAAGTGCGCACGCTCGGAGGTAGGGAGGTGGCGACGCACAGCAAGACGTGCAGCAGCATCGCGCGTGGCCCACTGGGAGCGAACAGTGGCGTCAGCATCAGCAGCAGGGGCAGGGGAAGCGCCAGAGGTGAGATCAAAGAGAGAGAGGCCGTCCGCCCTATCGCACTGTAAGAACAGCTGTAGGTCATCTACCCAGACCTCAAAGTCAATGGCCCGACCCTCAGCGTCAAAAGTGAGGACACTAGGGGTAGCCATGACAGCAGTAGACCAGCAGTGCAAGGAGTAGGGGAAGAGCACGCAGTGACAGAGGGTCTGTGCTCACCGGACAGGGCTGCTCGGGCGGCTCGGCTGCAGGGCGGCTCGGCCGCTGGGCGGCTCGGCGGCTGGGCGGCTCGGCGGCTGGGCGGCTCGGCAGCTGGGCGGCTCGGCGGCTGGGCGGTCGGCTGCACGGCGGCTCGGCTGGTGGGCGGCCGGGCGGCTCGGCTGCAGCGCGGCTCGGCGGCGGGGCGGCTCGGCTGCTCTGCTGCTGGGCGGCTCGGCTGCGCTGCTGTTGGGCGGCTCGGCTGGGCCGCTGACGTAGGGCGGCGGGGCCGCTGTAGAGGAGTGGCGGGGCCGCTGCAGAAGGAGCGGCGGGGCCGCAGTGAAGGGCGGCGGGGCCGCAACGAGAGAGGCGGCGGGGCCGCAGCGAGAGAAGCGGCGGGGCCGCGAAGTCGGGCGGCGGGGCCGCTGAGTAGGGCGGCGGGGCCGCAGTGGGAGGCGGCGGGGCCGCAGCGAGAAAGGCGGCGGGGCCGCGAAGACGGGCGGCGGGGCCGCTGAGACGGGTGGCGGGGCCGCAGTGAGTGGCGGCGGGGCCGCAGCGAGAGATGGCGGCGGGGCCGCGAAGACGGGCCGGGGCGGCTCGAAGCCGCAGGTAGAGGCGGCGCGAAGCCGCGGGAAGGGCGGCGACGGGCCTGGGCGGCGCGAAGCCGCAGGTAGGGGCGGCGCGAAGCCGCCGGTGAGGGCGGCGCAAAGCCGCGGGTAAGGGCGGCGACGGGCCGGGAAAAGGGCGGCGCGCCGCAGCCGCTAGGGCGGCTCGACGCGACCGTAAGGGCGGCGCGACGGGCCGCTAGGTGCGACTCGACGGGCCGCTAAAAAAAAAAGGCAGGCGCGACTCGAGGCGCGCTTCGGTGGGCCCAAGGAACAGTCCCTAGGAGGGGACCTGCTCTGATTCCATGTGAGAATGAGAACGAGAATCGGTGAACTATGAAAATGAAGTGAGTACAAATATGAAACCCTAATTGGTTGTACCCCCTATGGGATACCCCACTATAGCCTACACAACAGCATAAGCTATAATGTTCTGACACGAGCAACACCAGCAATCGGCACCTGCGCAGTCACACAACAGCAACAACAACGGAGCAACACCCATGAGTCTCGACGGCTCATCATATGCACGAGGAAATCAACAACAGCAGCCTACCTTTGCTCCGTACGAGCGCGGGTCTATCAGCTTTATGCCACACCCACAGCCTTCACCTGGACAAGAAAAATCACTGGACGCATTACAAGTTCAGTCGCAGTTCGCACACGTTCTGAAGATGCAGACGTCAAGACCCTTCGATGGAAATGACTTCTTCACCTGGTCGTTCGAGTTCGAGCTGATGATGGAAGGCGCGCAGATACTCGGGTTCTTCGACGGGTCTCTGCCATACCCAACAAACGGCACACAGTACGAGAAACAGCAGTACACCTATCAGTCAATGATGGCGCACACGATCCTACTGAGGAATATCACCCCGACTCAACAGCAGAACATAAGGTCTTACCGAGGTTACGGCAACTCCGCGGAGCTCGCGTACAACCACCTGAAGAGCCTGTATCAAGCAACAGACAGCGTAAGCCAAAGTCGGTTAATGGCGCAACTGACAACGGTTGAAATGAAAAACCCTTAGGATCTTTGCAGGGGTGAACTCTGGGTAGAGTTGGTGTAGTAGCGGAAGCGTTAATTAAAGAGTTGTGAACCACCTTGCGCTAGTATGTGAGGGCAAAGTAAGTTGATTAAAACAAAGAGATACAAGCTTTTATAAGAGTACAAGGAATACGAAGAGATACAGTTAATAACCGTTTTACTATTGCTGTTGCGGTTCGATACAGTGACGACTCGGGCAACTGCTCAATACCGAGTCAGTTGTTTGTCCTTGCTGTCGCACTGTACTTTGTCAGGTCAAAGGTCGCTGACCTTTGACTTTCGCGTAACCTCCAACAGTTACTTTCAACCTCCGAGGGTTGACTCGCCGGTGATTCGTTATACTTCGTTTCTTTTGTGTCTTAGTGTTTCGACACGACAGAGGCGCTTAGGACCGATTGTTTCCAACACAGGAGGCACTTAGCACCACACCCTGAAGCATGCACAACACACATATGCACATGTACGCACTCACACACATACAGGCTCACACATATACAGAGACACACAACGCAAAAACATACAGCTACTGTAATAAGCATGCAAGCATAACGAATGAATTTCAGCCTTGTATAAATTATCACTATCCTGTCCCCCGTTCCCCTCCCTCCCTCCCTCCCTCCCTCCCTCCCTCCCTCCCTCCCTCCCTCCCTCCCTCCCTCCCTCCCTCCCTCCCTCCATCCCTCCCTCCCTCCCTCATTTCCCTCATCTCCCTTCTCCCCATCCCTTTTCTCCGCAAGAAACAAAGGCTGCAGCTTGAACTCCCTGCACAGGAAAGAAAAATCAGGGAATGCAACTCACTCCCTGCACAAACAAGAACAAAATCAGAGAATAAAACTTGCATTAATAGCACAAGAAAACAAAATCAGAGAATTCAGCTTCCTTGATGCACTAAAAAACAAAGTAAGCGCAACAGAAATTCACGCGCAAACTCCCACGTTCTCTCACGCGCTCCCTCATGCGCAAACTCGCGCGCTCTATCGCGCGCACTCTCCCACGCGCTCTTTTGCACACACTCTTGCGCGCTCTCTCTTGCGCACTCTCACGCGCTCTCTCGTGCACTCTCTCGCGCACTCTCTCGCGCACTCTCTCACACACTCTCACGCGCTCCCTCACGCGCTCTCTCACGCGCTCCCTCACGCGCTCTCTCACGCAATCTCTCATTCGCACTCTCACGCGCTCCCTTGCACGCTCTCTCAGGCGCGCTCGCTCTCACGGGCTCTAACACGCACTGTCACGCGCTCTCTCACGCGCTCTTTCACGAGGAGAGCAAAAAACAAACAAACTAAAGAAGAAGAAGAACAAAGTTTTTTCAGGGGGAGGAGGGAGGATGAAAGAACCGGGAACGCACCAGATAACCACGGTAACTCAGAAAACAACCCGGGCTCGCGCACCAATCCGCGCTCGCGCACCAACTCACGCTTGCGCTCGTGCACCTGTCGCCGGAGGCGACGGCGGGGAGGAGGAAGAGGCGACGGCGGGGAGGAGGGAGAGGCGACGGCGGGGAGGAGGGAGCGGCGACGGCGGGGAGGAGGGAGAGGCAACCGCGTGGAGGGAGAGGGGACGGCGGGGAGGAGGGAGAGGCGACGGCGGGGAGGAAGGAGCGGCGACGGCGGGGAGGATGGAGCGGCGACGGCGGGGAGGAGGGAGAGGCGACGGCGGGGAGGAGGGAGAGGCGACGACGGGGAGGAGGGAGAGGCGATGGCGGGGAGGAGGGAGAGGCGACGACGGGGAGGAGGGAGAGGCGACGGCGGGGAGGAGGGAGAGGCGACGGCGGGGAGGAGGGAGAGGCGACGGCGGGGAGGATGGAGAGGCGACGGCGGGGAGGAGGGAGAGGCGACGGCGGGGAGGAGGGAGAGGCGACGGCGGGGAGGAGGGAGAGGCGACGGCGGGGAGGAGGGAGAGGCGACGGCGGGGAGGAGGGAGAGGCGACGGCGGGGAGGAGGGAGCGGCGACGGCGGGGAGGATGGAGCGGCGACGGCGGGGAGGAGGGAGAGGCGACGGCGGGGAGGAGGGAGAGGCGACGACGGGGAGGAGGGAGAGGCGATGGCGGGGAGGAGGGAGAGGCGACGGTGGGGAGGAGGGAGAGGCGACGGCGGGGAGGAGGGAGAGGCGACGGCGGGAAGGATGGAGAGGCGACGGCGGGGAGGAGGGAGAGGCGACGGCGGGCAGGAGGGAGAGGCGACGGCGGGGAGGAGGGAGAGGCGACGGCGGGGTGGAGGGAGAGGCGACGGCGGGGAGGAGGGAGAGGCGACGGCGGGGAGGAGGGAGAGGCGACGGCGGGGAGGAGGGAGAGGCGACGACGGGGAGGAGGGAGATGCGACGACGGGGAGGAGGGAGAGGCGACGACGGGGAGGAGGGAGAGGCGACGACGGGGAGGAGGGAGAGGCGACGACGGGGAGGAGGGAGAGGCGACGACGGGGAAGTAAGGAAGAGGAGATCGCGGTGTGAAACTGAGTGACTGTGAGGTGAATAGGAGAGGTGAAGGCGGGTAGTAAGGGAGAGGATACGGCGGGATGGGAGCGAGAGCGACGGCTGGGTGGGAGAACTAGCGAGAAATTGGGGTGGGGGGAAGGAAGAGGAATAAGAGCAGAGCAGGTGTGCTTGTTGAGTCGAGAGGAACCAGAACAAAAGAACCAAGAAAAGAGCGCAGAAATTGAGTTGACAGCTGTGAAAGGGACGGATGCCAGCGCAGAGATAAAATTTCTGCCAGCGCAGAGATAAAATTTCTGCCAGCGCAGAATGAGAATTTCTGCCAGTGCAGAACAAGACAATTTCTGCCACCGCGGAATGATACAATTTCTGCCAGCGCAGAACGAAGCACCATATACGGTGTCCTGTCTTAAGTTAAAATGAAGAACTTAATTAATTGCTTCTTTAAGCAAAATATGATTATATTGTACTCTTTCATAATGTTCCTTGCATACGGAATACAGCTCTACGCAACCCTTCCGACGTCAACGTCGAGTCTTGTTAATTATGAAAACGTTCAGACATTGTCCGGAAATCGCTCGGATACGAAATTTTGGGCGGTCCGAGTCCAGCGTCCGGACTGAGCCTCGTCCGCACGCTGTTTCTGACACTTCTTCATATCAGCGACAATCAAATTATTCGCGGAAATGTAACCATGTCTACGACGCTCTTGGGACCTAGGTAACAATCAAGCGACTTGGAAACTTGGATTCGTGCGCCAATGAAATTGCGTTACTGTTACGTCCGTCCGTTTATCAGACGGTAATTGTCTGGAAGACTTGGGATGGCAAATTATGCAAAATGTTCTACCGAGGTCCGATCATTGACGACGTCGCCAGGGTGCTTGCGAGGTCTCAAACGATTTTTTTGCGGAAAAGGTAACCAGAAAAATGTTCGGACGGAGGCCCGTCTGACGGGCGAAAGTAAAACATAAAATACGCCCTAATGTCCCAAAGGCCGATGTCCAACTATTACTTAGCAACGGGAAGGAGCATGCTAACAACTCATCTGTAAACCTAGGGCAGGGGGTGGGGAACAGGGCTGATTTTATCAGGGTAATTATCCTGATTTCAGGGTGATTTCAGGCTTTCCACTTCGTGGAGACTGAAATTTCAGAGTTATTGAATTTCCAGCCCTGATCCAATCAGAGTAATAGTTTAGCTATCCCTGATTTTGAGTACAGTGTAACAGACTAGGCTGTTAGTGGACCCTGACTTAACAGAGTATCGACTGTGTGGATCCTGACTTATCGAGAGGAAGTTGCTCGGAAGTTTCCTTCCGATGACCCCGCCTTGGATTGATCGCAGTGATCCCCCCACATGTGCGTAATCCCCCACCTTCCCGCTTTATCGAGACGAAGTTTCTTCGAAACTTCGTTCTGATCGAAACTTCGAGACTTTATGGAGAGTGGGGATATTTTCCCCGACTTATCGAAAAGAAGTTTCTCAGAAGTTTTCTTCCGATGACCCCGCCTTGGATTGATCGCAGTGATCCCCCCACATGTGCGTAATCCCCCCCTTCCCGCTTTATCGAGACGAAGTTTCTTCGAAACTTCGTTCTGATCGAAACTTCGAGACTTTATGGAGAGTGGGGATATTTTCCCCGGTAACAAAGCGCGCGTTACTACTCTGATGTTCAGTTCTCGACCCTGAACAATCAGTGTTAACTACTTTACAACCCTGAGCAATCAGGGTACTGCTTTTCTGGAAAATGTGCACCCACAATAGAGGGGGAAAATTTTCCCCAAAATCAGGGAAGCTTAAAATGAAACGTCAGCCCTGGTGGGGAAGGGATGTGTAGGGGAGGAGGGGCCTCGTAGGGCAAAACGTCGTCAGCAAAGAAGTTGCTTACATTCTTGTGTATTCGCAAAGCACTTCCGAGGACATTCGTTCCATGTAGTACTCATAGTGTGAACCGATGGGCTGAATTCCTCTTCGCCACGTAAGGGTTTCGGTGTCGCGAGTCTAGTGTGAGTACTTGGAACTCTGAGGGAGTGTATGGACTTAGAAATATTTTGCAACTGCAGCCATAACACCAAAGTAGATAGAATGTGGGAGCTACGGGGATGATGAGAGGGGGAGGGAAAGAGTGGCTACTTGGCATACTCGCAGGGTTACTTGTACTCCTGATCCGGGAAATCATGAAAAGGACCCAGACCAGCCCTAACGGATCCGAACTGATACCCCAATGTCTCAAAATCAGCCCGTAAGAATAACGGGCTCCCTCGAAACCAGCCCTTTGAAACGCAGAAGCTGGCAGGAGTTCGCCCGGAATGTTCAGGGCATTAAGGGCAAATGCCCTTGAATCGACAGCCCTCTTGATGCTGTTGACGTTCGCATCGCGACTCGCGAGCGACTGCGCGCACCTAAACAAATCTACCCCCACACATCGGCCGGTTTGAAATGAAAGGCATTTGCGAGCGCACAGATTTTCCTATTGGGTCGATGGAATTCGCCAATCCTCGTCGGGAGAAACGAGAAAGGGGTTACCGTCCCACGAACCTGTTCCTGCGTGCGTCGGAGCAGCACATCAGATTGCAGCAATAGAACCTTCGCGAAGCCGATCTGTGCATCTTTTTGCACAGTAGCTCGCAAAACCATGGCCTGGCCGCCTGGCATGGCGGCGAGACTACACTACCAACACTTGGGTTCGTCCTGATACACAAGCTGAGGAGCTCTCACCCAGCCGGACCTGTTCCCTATGGAGCTCCTCTCGTTGTTTCCGTCTTTTTCCCAAGATTCGCCACGCTGTCAGTTCTCGACCAATCTTCCAGCATTTCTATGCCTTCTAGTTCCTTCTTTTCCAGACACAGTAGCCAATGAGAGCTCTCGGCCCTCCCATGACATTTTCCCCGACCACTGTACTGTATCTCAGCCTTGTAGATATTTCTCCGCCGTGAGCCACATCTTGCAGTCCGCCTCAAAAATATCAACCATGTGGGTCAGCGTCACACGCGCTTCCATGTCGTTAACTCACGATTTCGCGATCCCAGGCGATGCTGTCGCCCTACTGATTCATTTGGTAGCCAGCCAAACCCAAGTTCTCCATTGTCTGTCCTGCAAATCACTCTACTCAGCAGCAGAGAGCCTAACCTTCCGCAGATACAAACCGCAGCGACTCTCTATGGTAGTACCGACCGCCCCTTGATTGGTTCCTAGCTGGAATATACAGAAGGCCGTTTACTCGAGTAGCCGCCATGGGTTGTGTTCGTACCATGAAGCTCCGCAGACCTCACACCGCTGAACCGTACACGACTCCTCCATCTCCACAACGGGCCTCCCGCCAACCATTCCAAACCGTTTCCACCGAGCCTGATACGTTCGGCATTGAATGGGAGATTCTCGACAACATCGCGCCAGCGTTTTCCAGTCCCGTGTGGATAGTAACGGAAACCGTCGACGCTTACGTTTTCTGCGTGGAGCAAAGAGGTTTCCCGCTGCAGCGCGTCCAAGTTCTGCTGGACAGACGCGAATGCCAAGAGTCTGGCGAAAACAGCTGCGAGGACGAAGATACTGACTGTCGCGAATCATCATGCGACCAGAGCAGTGACTCGTCGCAGCAATCATCAAGAAATCGTTTCAATCTCAGCAGCATTGATACTAGCCGCTGCGGTAGCATAAGCGCACCGCTTCTTACCATCTTGTGTGGATTCCATGCGACGTCGCATGCTGCCTCCGAGGGAAGCGTATTCCATCAAATGACCGGCAGGCGGTTCAAACTGCCGCCTGACGCTGTCGCAGAGGACACGACGGCCATGCAGACTGCGACAGGATCGTTGGTGGTCGCCGTCCCTCGCTCTTCGTCAATAAACAACGGCTCGTCATCCAATACAGCTCCTTCTAATCATCCTTCTGGAAATTTCTCTCGGCCAAGATATGGCCAGTGGACCGTGCACGTGGCAACAGCAGCGTCATCAGCAGCAGCCTCTTCATCAGAAAGGCAGTACGAACCTTTTGCTGACTCGTTTCAGCATTTCAATCTGGAGTTGCTTCAAGAGTTGAGGGTCTGAAAGTGCTGATGCAGATTGACTGCATGTATTGCTGGAAAGCATCAGCCTGTACAGCTTATTGCCTCCTCTTTATACTGAATAATGGAAACAAGTATATCTGAAGTTCCATTTTAACCTCTCACATGCTGCATACCAGTACTGTGCACATGCTCCTTTCAGATAAGCTAGCTAACTACCTGGAGTTAAGGTCACGAAGCAAATAAATTAATCTACACATGCCAATAAAACAGGTCATTTGGCTTTATGAAGGCAACAATTTCCAATTGCGATGTCTTCCATACTGTGCAGTTGCTGCTCTTGCCGATGCCATACTGCTGACCAATAAGCCAACGACACATAGTGAGGTAAGCATGTTGGATGGCGCTGACAGTGCCAGGCTCCATGTTACTGGATGGTGTTGCTCCGCACACCCTCTAGATAGATACAAACAAACGACAATCACCAAACAGACCACACAGGAAAGAGGAACGGGTACGAAGAAGGTTAAGCCTGAAGCAACTGTTTCCTCCGGGCAGTTGAAGCTTAGTCAACCAGGGCTTGATCAGCGGATGTTTCAGCTGCCAGGAGCAAGGAACAGCCATCAGAGTAACTATGACAAAAGGCCATCACGAGCAGCACAAACAGCTGCTTAGGCTACAATGGGGTCATCACGTGGCTGCTATCGCTCACACCAAGAAGACAGCATAACTGACATTCATATTACACCCAAAGACTCCACTGCACAGAGTTACAAACGATATGGGAAAATGGTAGATAGCAAAGATACACTCAGCAGTGTACGACAGGTCGAAAAGGCTACACCTTTAAAAGCAGTGAGCTTATGGGCAGCTATTAATCGTCCTATCTCCCCACCTTCAGTCCCCGCACCCATGTCCCATCACTTATAGTTACCTTTCCAAAATCCTTCTCATCTGTTGTTCCGCATGCTTCCGCTGTTACCAACCACCAAAAAGAGTTGACTTCTGAGTCAACTCAAGAGTCAGTTGTTCCGCGTGCTTCCACTGTTACCAACCAGCAAGGCCAGGCCTGCTGGCATGGCAGCTTCATTCTGCTCATCACCAAACAAACCCATCTAATAGCCTCTGTTCACTACCACAAAACCCAACTAAACGCTCCTATATTTTAATTTTCAACCTGCAAGCTCAAACACACCTCAACTGCATCACTTGGAATCCACCATTCCCCAAACGTCATCCAGATTACCTCGCCGCTTAACTCTACCACCCATTCTTCCCAACACCCTCAACCATCACAATACACCCATCCCACCCTCACCTGAATCGCCCGCGGCACTGGAACCACCTCAACCGTCGCCATCACCGCTTGTTCTCCGCGCAGTGCTGCCGCAGGATCTGCAGCAGCGTCTTGGCCTCCGAGTTCTCGGCGCTCGTCTGCGACACGCGCACCAGCGACGGCAGCACGCCCTCCGCGAGCAGATCTCCGTACGTCACAAACCCCATGGCCGCCAGCTGTAGCAGCACCGACGCCGCATCCTCCTTCACCCGCGCCGATGACCCCTCATCGAGTAGATCCACAAACATGGTCAGCCCGTCGCACTCCACCACCGACTGGCACCCTTCGGGGAACCTGGCCAGGTTGGATAGGACCGCCGTGGCTTTCTCTTCCAAGCCTGGCGGGGGAGGGTCGGCGGAGTCCCCCGAGCCACACATGCCTAGCAGGACCTCGACAGCTCCGGCTTTAAGGATATCCCGGGCGCAGCGCACCTGGGTGGAGAGAGTGAAGAGAGCCAGAGCTGCGTCTTTCTTTGCCCGCACCGTGCCGGTTTTGAGGAGCGAGATGAGTGCAGGGATGGCCCCTGATGCTCGGACCATCAGCTTGTGGTCGTCTTCTTTGGAGAGGGCAAACAGGGTGGCGGCAGCATTGCCTTGCGAGGCCGACGTGCCGTGATTGAGCATGCCCACCAGGGCTGGTATTCCACCCGCTCGCACAATCTCCCCTGATGCGTTCCAGTGGAGGGATAGGTTCATGAGAGCAGCAACAGCGTGCTCTGCTGCTTCTAAGTCGTCTGATTCGATTACTTCCACTAGCGGCTCGATCCCCCCTAGTTGCACCAGCTGCGCTTTGTTTTCCGGGCAGCCCTTGATGGCAGTTCGGATGTCTCGCACAGCTGCCCGCCGGTCCACACCTGACCCGAAATTCAGTGCCTCAACCATCGGGCCCATGTCCCGCCGGACGGGTGCGCCGCCCGGGTCATCATTGCTGCCGCCCGGCATGCTCATCATGCTGCACGTGCTGCGCGCGCTGCTGTTTCTCTGCAGCCGCGGCACACCAGGAGCGCCGCCCCCGCCTGTAGCAGAAGGCCCCTGGGGCGGCTGGGGGGGGTACTGAGGGGGAGGGGTCATGGGGGGAGTGGCATGACCATACCCCATGTCTACATCTTGCATTGCCGGGTTGGTGGTTGATTTTCTGAAAGCCCTACCAGCCGATGATGTACTCTCAACGTCCACATCGTGCAAGTGGGGCGACGGGTTGGTCGGCGACTTTCGGAACGTTCTGCCGGCCGACATGGCCTCGATATCCGCCTGCCACTGCGGGATGGATGACGTCAGCCGCTCCAAACCCTGCCCTTGCCCCCCACCGTATCCGCCCCCGCCCCCGCCCCCCCCGCCGCCGCCGCCGCCGCCGCCAGCAGCAGCAGCAGCGCCAGCAGCGTTTTTCAGCACGCCTTTCCGGAGCCCCTTAGGCCTGCCCGCGGTGCTTCCGCTGGGTGCCATCCCCGACCCCGCGCCCCTCCACGGCTCCCCCCCGCCCCCGCCCCCCTGCCCGTAGTCCCCGCCGAACGCGGCGCCCGAGGTCCTAGGCCGCTCGTCTCCCGGATTCGCGGCGAACTGCCGCCTGCCGCCGCTTGCGCTGCTCGCGCCGCCCATACTGCTGCCATCAGTAGAGTCCATACCGAAGTGCCGTCGTCCCCCCGTGCTGCTCCCACTGCTGTTGCTGCTAATGCTAGGCACCCGCCCGTGCCCCACCGACCCTGGCCGCTGCGGCAGCGGGGACATGCTCGCGCCTGCCCCGCCTCCGCCTCCCCCCGCCAAAGTTCTCCCCGCTGGTGCCAGGTGTTCCCCGTGCCCGCCGTATTCCTCGTCCCCCCGTCCCCCTCCCCCACCTGCCGCCCTATCCGCATCCCTCTCAGTTTTTTTCACCTTCCTGCCCGTTTCCGAATGGGACCGCATCTTAGCGCTGCTGCGCAGCGACGGCGGCGCCGCCTCATCCGCGTCGCCCGACGACGGCCCCTCGGCGGGCATCCTTAGCCCCGCGCCGCCTCTAACCCCATCCGATCCTATCTCCGATAGTAGCTTATCCCGCTGCTTCCTTGTCATCTTCATACTCCTCCCCTTCATCAGATCTGATACCTTCCCGGGACCTCCACCCCCGCCGCCGCCCCCGCCGCCACGGCCTAACTTGAGCGCGGACATTCCGGCGGAAAGTTTCCCCCCTACGTCATCGTCATCGTCGGCGGGAGATCCGAACCCGTCTTCACCGCGCGGAAAGTAAGATAAATGCCGCTGCAAACCTCCTGCCTTCTTAGGCTTGCTGCTCTGCGACGCTATAGAATCCCATACGGCTTTAATATCCGTCGGTCCGTCCCCTCCCTGACCATCCCCGCCCATCGCCGCCACTTTCTTCGACAGGTTTGACGGCAGCGGGCTGACGGACCTCGCCCGAGCCTTGGCGTCCGAACCACTTCCCGAGCCTGAAGCCTTGCGCCCCCTCTCCCCCTTGCTCTCCTCCCCGCCATCCGCACTCTTCTTCTTAACCACTTTTTTCTTCCGCACTACCCCATCGGAAGAACGTTCGAAGTCCTGATCGTCTGGACCGCGCTCCGACTGAGACTGCGCCAACAGCGAAGGAGGAGGTGGTGTTTTCGGCCGCAACTGGCTGGTTTTCGAGGAGCTTTTCACCACGGTTTTTTTCGCTGGGGCAGTGCTGGGTCGGGCAGCTGAAGAGTGGCTGCCCGAACCTTGTGCCATCCAATCAGAGATCATGCTTTTTAGGGCAAAGTTCGGGCAGAAATTTGTATGGTCAATCCGCACGCCGGACTTGGGACACGTCCGCTTACCCTCCGCGAACCACCGCTCGATAGAAGCACGCTCGTACGTCTGGCCTGATGCGATTATGACGGGGTCAGTCATGACGGTTAACGAAAGCGGACACATAAACTCCTCTGGTATTGTCGGACCGTTAGACTCCGCCTTCTTACCACCGCTGCTGCTGCTACCGCCGCTCTCTTTCTTTTTTCTCGTCGGCTTCGCTTCCCGTTCCTTCGACGGTCTCCGCCGCTCCTGCTCCCCTACATGGTTATCCTCCTCCCACGCCTGATCCTCATGCCGATGCTGACGCCGCTGCTGCCGTTGCTGCCTATCTACAGTGTTTTCCCGCTCCCAATTGGACGCTCGGGGTTCGTCGTTCCATCCGTTGCCGTGGTTGTCTTGATAATCATCGTCGGGATGGTAATGATCCGACGATTGCGACGCTCTCTCCCAGCTGTTACAGGTTGCTGGATCCATGATACGCGCGAACAGCTAGGGTTCTGGTCTGGAAGGGGAAAAAGGGAAATTGATTTGTCGAGAACAAAAACAGAAGGAAGGCTGGTGACATAAGCGTGATTTTGCTCAAATCGAGTTCATACACTTGAGCAGGAAAAAAAACAGGCCCATGTTGTGCATGTTCTATTGCTTCCGCAAAGTGGTGATCGATAAGGAGAGGCGGGAAGGAAAGGAAACGAGGCAGGAAAAGTCCTGGTAGAGCTCCAATTCACATGCAACCATAATGCAAAATACACACTGAAATGCGAGAAAACGCCGACTAATGCTAGAGGTATATCGGAAATCGGCTAAGCTGATGGAGAGAAATGAATGACTTCAGACAATGGGGAAAGTGAAACTGGACAAAGCTTACCTGCTTACGTCGTGAAGGCGCAGTGACCCCCTGATAAGGCTCTGGACCAGCGGAACCGATATATCTACTGGTAACTACGAGTATGGCACTAAAACACTAACAAGATCAGCCTTGGCTTGCTTAATTATATCTCTGCTCGGATCGTTGTCTAAGACCTAATAGCTACTTGCAAACACAATCGCTATCCACAAAACCGAGTCCTTGGCAACATCTTCGGCACCACCTAACTACCGGCATTCACGGTACTACGGCCATACTATCGCAATCCTATTTCACAGCACAAACGCTTCCGGCGGAACATTCTGGACGACAACGAAGGAACCAGCTACGAAGAAGGACGACAAGGAGAACGCAAAAAGCGTAAGTTTCCCGCCTTGCTGTCAGGGAGTTCTTAGGGTTACGAAATAGAGAAGGGTCCAAGAGCTTGCTAATGTGCTAAATGCCACTGGCTGATATCATGGCGGATCCGTCCTCTTGGACTAGCGATAAGGGAGGTGCTGCTTCTGAGTCGTGGTACTTGAGATTCTAAAAGCGGAGGTTAGTGTGACTGTTAGGAGGAGTTGACAAATGTAAGCGCGACAGTTTTAAGCGTCGTGTGGTAACCCTCCTGGCGGAGGGATGCGATGAGTCGGATGGATGAGCGGACGAGATTTGTAGAGATTGGAAGCTGCAGTTCCAGTTGCAGGTTGGTGGTTTGGTGGGGTTGGGCTGGATGGGAAACCTTTAGATGTTGGGAGAAATGCGGGCAGAGGATTATGGGCAGATGGGAAGCGTTGTATTGGTCCTAAGGAAGGTTGCGAGCGGGCATGGTGAGTGTAGGGCAAATAATTGGTGGCTGAGAGGAAGTCGGGCATGGCGGGAGAGCAAACGGACAGATAAAGGATTGGACCTTTTAGGAGGTTGGTGGGGGCGACTGCGTAAAGCACAACTCGGGAATTTCTGAACCCACGAGATATCACGCATTCCACGACAACATCGAGTGTACTGAATGTGCTTGTTTCAAGAATGTCTAAACTCTTCCAGTTCATTCATATAATAATCAATCCTTGCACATGGACATGAGCAACACGGATCCTCAACCAGCTCCAACGCCAGTCTGGCAATGCATGGACATCCTCCACACCTGACTGGACTTTCTGGATCCATTCAGGAAAGGGGAAGCCAAAAAAATGGTGGTATGCTTGTACTTCAGCCATTGGAGACGCATCCTTCTAAGAAATACCCGATCTGCTAGATATCCCAATCAGTAGCTGGCCAATGTCTGGCTGACATTGACACGGCCAGGTGACGCATTCTTGTTGAACTTGGACCACTTGAAGTCCTCGTACTTCTTCCCCACCCCAATCAGCCCAAGAGCGCTCTCAGCCGGCGAGTTATCCGTCTCCTTCACTCCAATATCCGTCGACTTAAACCCCTTGGCCGGCCCATCCACAGCAACCAGCTCGCCATCATACGACAAGAATTGAATCACTGTGGCATCGCCGTTTGCCGGCTGGGAAACAAGTGCCATGCCATCTGACGGGCCGTTTTGCAGCCCCCCTTGAGCGTACGTGTTGCCATACACCACGAAGCCGTTAACGTTGGTGGGAGGAAGGTTGAACTTGGAGAGAGGAAGCTTCCCGTAGCTTTTGCCATTGGCTCCGTTGTAGAGGTAGATGGTGAGGGTGGAGGGGTCCACGCCTGGACTTACTACCACCTCAATGAACTGCATTAGACGGGGGAAATGAAGGGGGACGGGGGAAAATGAAGGCAAGGGTGGCAATAAACATTGAGGAACGTTGCGATGGCGTAGGATCTAATGCATATGTTACCGGATTAGGTGGGGATGTGGGGTCAGAGGCAGGTTGGGTTGAAGGGAGAGAGCAGGGTGATGAGGAGAGAGGGGGGCTACAGGTGAAAAGTGAAAGAACAGAAGATTTGAGTGGAAAGAAAAACTGGGTGGCACAGCTAAGAGAAATAGCGGGATGGAGCTAGGCATACAGCTCTGCCAAGTCTAACTGCTGCAAAGTGGGTAGGGAGGAGGACGATCGAAGAGATGCCTGTAAACGATTTATTTCTCCCTCATTGCCTCCATCCCCTACTCCCAAATCACCCATTCTCTACCTTACCCTCTGTCCCCCGCACAATTCCCAACCATATTCCTCCATCTTGACTCCACCACCCACCTCGTTCTTATCCGGCCCTTCATTGCTGTAGTGAATCTCATTAAACCAAGCCTTTGCCTGCAAACCAGGCACGCGTGGAGCAGCCACCCCGCTAGCCCCTCCTGCTGCTACTCCCAAGCCTCCCCCCACTGGCGGTGCTGCTCCGGGCAAGCTGAATCCGCTTCCCGAGCCTACGCCCAGGTCTGCCCCCGAGCCTACAGCCGGTACCGAGGCTGGCCCGGCGGTCCAGATAAGGGAGACGAACTCGGGGTGGTCAACGAAGGGGTTGCGATTGTGCTGGTAGAGGGAGCACACGCGGGCATTGCGCGTGGTCTCAAGGGATGAAGGTGGATCGATGGCATGCCACTTGAGCAGAGGTGAGAGTAGCCCCATCTGACCCTCGGCTGGAGAGAGTCGGATGCAAGCGAGGTAGGGAGGGGTAGAGAACGGTGGTGGGTTGGTTAGAGGGCGGGTCGATGGCATGCCACTTGAGGAGAGGTGGAGGGAGTCGGATGCCACGGAGGGAGGGGTGGAAGGGTGGGAGGAAAGGGTAGAGGGAAGGGAAGAGGAAGGAGTAGTGGGTGTGGAATCGGGAGGGAAAGAGAGAATGGCATGTAAGACGAGGGGTGAGCAGCCCATTTTGGGCTTCAGCTGGCGGGGGAAAGCAGACAGAGGCGTGTGATTTGTGCAGAACAAAGAGATTAAGGAGAAACATCACCATGGCATACCGATTTTGGGGTTGTCTGAGAGCTCGAGGTCCAGCTCGCCTGGCACGGAGCCATCGTATCTCACAGCCATGTAGAGCAGCGCACGTGCTATGTCTCCCCGCACCTGTTTCAGAAATGCACAGGCACAGGGATTACACGAGGCGGTCAGTGTGACAGTGCCAGGCAAGTGTGGCAATTGATATCGTAAACATTGGAGTGCTATAGCGAGGCAGTTTTGGTATGCGTACCGACAGACGGAATTCATGAGGTGGTTGGACCGACAGAGCGACGAGAAATCATTGTGGTTAATTCTGAGAGGGTGTGTATGATGACACATCAATGCCTTTGTGTGTGCTCACAAGGAAAGTATGAGTGCATACGGAAAGGCAGCACGAGAGCAAGAAAAGAAGACAGGAAGTAAGAAAGCAAGAGGCAAGAACACTAGCACGCACCTCAGTGGGGGGAGTCCAGACGTCCTTGTTGGTGGCGGTGTCTGCTGCTGCCTCCCTGTTGGCCGGCACCATACAGGTACCGTCAGTGGACGTGCATTCGCCGTACCACTTGTTGCCTCTGGCGGAGTTCACTGTTTGTGACATGACAACAACAAGGGGAAATCTCGTGATATGAATATACGAAGCAGAGGATAAGGTGTGAAAGATAGTCAGTACAGTCCCTTTTCAATCCCAGCAAAAATGTTGTTAACATCGCCTCACTGTTCCAAATCCGCTACCAGTCCAGCCCAGCACATCATCAAGCGTACCATTGACATCAGCGGGTCTCAGGTTGTGAAGGTCGGAGAACTCAGGGCGGCCCTGAGTGAGGCCGTAGGAGCGTGGCCACAGATGCTCCCCTGGTGGATGGGTGGAAGGGAGACAGCAATTTCAGTGCAATTCATACAAATTCCACAACTCATTGCGACCAGCAAAATCACAGCTCTAACAGCAATCAGAACAATCGTTACTATCAGTTGGCACTCACTGTTCCAGCCTTCAGGCGTGGCCTGTGTGTCCTTGGGCACTGCCCTACGCGTGTAGATCTCCACACTGGCCATGGGAACACACAGGGGGGGAACCAGGAATAGTGAGCAGCGGTGAGGAAGAGGGGGGAAGGAAAACGAGGAAGAGAGGGACCATTTGACTACGGAAAGTGTGCAATTGTGGATTACTCGTGGTAGGCCCACTCACGGACAGTGAGGAAGGGAGGAACCACCACTTGATTGTGCAAAGTGTGAGAATCTGTGGATTACTTGTGGTAGAGCCACTCACACATCACGGGATTTAGCAGGATCTGATTGGTCCGCTGCATCAAGAATCTTCAGAGCATCCCATGCCTGCCATGAGTTCAGATATCGTGGGAGGGAGGGGGTTCTGAAATTAGTGAGAGTGTCCAGTCTTCTTGCACGACATTGACTAATTCGTGGAGTGTGATATTGAAAAGAAACGAGGGAGCTGATAGAGGTGCTACAGCCATCCATTGGTGCCCAGTGAGTAATTACCCGTGGCTGACAGCCTCTTAGCACAAATAAATTCCTTCAATCTACCTCCTCAGGTGATCCATTACTCTCAGAGCTACCTACCTCGGTGTAGGTGTACACTTTATGACCCTTTATAATGTCGTGCAGCTTCGCCTTTAGCGCCTCTCCCTTCAGCCCCTGCGTGCCTGCATAGTACTGCTCCACGTCTTCGCACGGGAACTTCGTGGAAGCTGCTTCGGCTGACCATGGTGCGAAGCAAGCGGCTGCTGTGGGCGTGAGAGTGATGAGGGTTGCCAGCAGAGCTGCTGTCGCCTTGGATGCAGCTGGGGAAGAAGACAGAAAGGGAGGGTTTTGTGGGTGTGAGGAGCGAAAGCAGGCGAGAAGGCAGGGTCGTAAGTTACCGTTGTCACGTTTTCGTTTCTTATCAACATTTCCATGTTGGTTCCGCTTCCACTTTGACAACTCGTGAACCGTTACCTCAGGTAATGGAATACCGAAACGACCAATGGTCTCGATTCCAGCATTCCAGCCAGACCAACAAGCATTGCTAGTCAAACGCCTGGACAAAACGCAGAATCATGACCGAATTCAGGGTGAAGTCGATAGATTCCTGGCCAGACGTCACCGATTCAAGAGAAGGCGGGCGACAGATAGCTTGCAACGATCCGTGAATTGCCGTACCTTTCTGGCCAGACGTCAAAGTTTCCTGCAGAGACTCCAGCCGTCCGTTGCCATGTCTACCTCGTTCACTTCCCGTCGCGTCAGAACGAGACGACGCGGATGTGAAGCGTTGGGAGCGGCAAATAACTGGACCTGCTTGCCTGGTCCCCCGGGAAGCACCCCTGGCCGCGGGGCCTCCAGGGGTTGAGATTGTAAGTGAGCGTGCGGACGAGGAGGAGGCTGTGCTGGCCAATTGGGAGCTTCGTTGAAGGAAATCTGTCTGGGGTCGACCTCCCTGTGGGATGGAGTGGACGGAGAGTTAAGAGATAAGCGAGACGGGGTTGAGTGAGATGGGAGGGGGGTTTGCGGAAGGCACAGGTAAGATGAAGAAAAGCGCGAGTCCAGTAAGTGGGAAAGTGGCGGAAATTACGTGTACATTGGAACTCACGGCGGTCAATCCGCGAGCGCTCATCAACGAGCAGTCAGAAGCCAGCAGTGCCATTGCGAATCAGCGAATCCAACGATCCAGCAGCAGCACTGCGTAAATGCCGCGTGAATTTGGTGTTTGGGACAACAGACGGGGTGTAGTCAGCTGCGAACTTCAAGAATCCTGTCGATCAGCAATGAAAGGATTGATGATCAACGATTTTCCAGGGAAGAGCGGATGAAATGGATGTCGGAATTCTCGAGAATGTGACACGTCATCGAGAGAATTCTGGCTTGGAAACCGTACCGAGCGTACCACGCTTCGGCTCGGCCGAACCAGCTTCTCATTACGTGTTATTCTGCTCCGTGCATCATCCCACCACCCTCGACAAACCTCATCGACCCGAAACACTGTGATTGGCTGTATGCTCTGGCCTCCTCCTCTTATTGGACGCCTCCTCGTCAAAGTGAACGTAGCCTTGATCTTGGTATCATGGGTGGATGCCAACAAACCTCAGGCTCGGATATATTCTCCTCCCTTGTTTCAGAATTGGGACTTCGGGCAGGCAAGCGACGAATACATCCACCTCCATGACCACCGGAACACCAAAATCGCTCTCTTCCGACTCACAATTCTCCTTGGGAATCATCAGATAGAGCGTCACCGTTACGTTACGTCCCGTTATTGTATCGGAATGTCGACAGGCATTTCTTTAGGGACGTACCGCCAGGTTCCCTTGCAAGGTTTTCGGTGTCGCCATTCCGTGTCGCCAATATCGGCGCCGGTCTCCTACCATCCTGCGTCGAGATCGCTATTCCTTACATCTGCACCAGGAGCTCTCGGCTCGATCACAAGAACGGGAGGAAGCATTAGGTATAGAAAACGATGCCAGGAAGGAATATTTAACAGCGTTTGGAGTAACCGCAGCCTTGCAGAGACCAACTTGGAGCAAGGAAACCAGTCTGATGTAAACCCGCCACGCACCGCCAGATCTTGCGAATCAGCTGATCTTTCTGGTAGACGAGCCTTCCTTGCAGGTGCAGTAGCACTGGCAGCAGTCCCTGTTGCAACTGAGCCATGGGGGATTAGAAGCTTCACGGAGCCTGGAGCTGCACATGCAGCTGTTCTGCCAGGGCGAGTAGGGCAGGGGCCTCTGTTGGCTGCTGTGAGCGACGATGACGAGGACACCATCGTGTCTCTGTTTGAGGTGAGGGCCGCCTGTGCTATGGTAATTCCGCATACTTTGCCCGTTCCGTTGCGGTGAGGCGTGATCATCTCTTATCGTCTAGCAAATATAGGCGTGATCGTCTCATTTTTGAATGTGTCATGTCATTTTGCATGATTTTCTTCCGTTTAGCAACTGTCATTCTCCTTGCATGTCCCTCTCCCCTGCACGTTTCCCCACGTCGTGCTTCCAGAACGCAACGGCGTCAGTAGTGTCTATTATGAATGTGGAAGTGAATGGAAGCGGCAAGGGAAAGGGAGGAGCTGGAGAGGAAGTCATGGAAGGAATTGGCTCCGGTTTTGTCTGGGATGAATACGGTCATATTGTAAGATACTGCTTTCATTGCGTTGGTGGTGTGCTGTAGAACACTGTCTGGGCATGTTACAGTGCAATGCCATATCACACAGTACCATCGATAGTCAGGAAGTCATTGCGAAGGATCTATCACATTGAGATTGACAATGGTCAGGTGTATGCTGTGCATGCCTCTACATCATCTCATGCACATGGTAGTGATCTCCTTCCACGTCCATCTCGCTGACGTGGCAGGTCACCAACTACCATGTGGTTGCCAAGCTGGCGACTGACACTTCTGGGCGGCAAGCCTGCAGGGTGAGAATGGAGGGAAGTGGAAGCGAGAGTAGCATTGCAAGAGGTAGAGGGTGGTGTCATTTCTGCTCAAAGAGGAGGACGTTGTAGTCATTCAAAAACTTTTCACCACCGGTGCTGTCATTGTTACCTCTCCCCTCCACTTTTGTCCCTGCCGTATTTTGCTACAATCCTCGCCCGCCTCTCCCTCTCCAGGTGTCTCTTCTCGCCCCAACAGGCGCCATGCAGACGTACGCTGCTACTCTTGTCGGCACCGACCCCTCCAGAGATCTTGCTGTACTCAAGGTGAGTTCTCGAGAATCCTTCGCCTCTTTTGTTTGTAATCTAAATGGATCACTACAGAGATTGACCCACTCAGACATTCCTACCTGGCATCAATTTCTGTATGAGCGCCCACATTACTTCTGATAGTGCCCTGTATTCCTGATGTTACCAGGTAGACCTATCTCAGCCTGTGCCTGAAGCAGCGGATACAGGTGCAGCAGCAGACGGTGCAGTGGCGGTAGCAGCACCAGCAGCACCGACCCTGTACCCCATTCCTGTGGGCTCTTCGTCGGACCTGAGGGTTGGCCAGAGCTGCTTCGCCATCGGCAATCCCTATGGCCTGCAGCACACACTCACTGCTGGGGTACGTGTCTCATTTTTTAGTCGTCTCAAACTTCGTTGGCCATCCCTATGGCCTGCAGCACACACGCTGGGGTATGTGGGTCCAGTCCAGTCAGCTTCAGGCGGATGGTACTAGCAGGTGATGGAACTGGGAGATGCTGCAGATGTGGATGATACTGCCGTGGATGTCACTTATAGGATGAAGCTGGTACGGATGACACTGGTACAGATAATACTGCTCTATGTGGCATCAGGCTACGTTGTGTACATTGTCGTTGATGATGATAGTGTGGCAGGCACTACACCCTCGTTTCATGAGGTGTTAAGTGGGGTGGGTGATCGATGGGGTGGTGATACTGGGACAGAAGGTTGATGATTGAGATGATACAGAGGGCTCAGTACCAGCAGCACCGACCCTGTACCCCATTCCTGTGGGCTCGTCGTCGGACGAGGTGCCCTTTGCTTTTTTCTCCAGGTCATCAGTGGGCTAGGCAGGGAGATTCCGGCACCAACGGGTGCTGCGATCAGGGGAGCGATTCAGACTGACGCTGCAATCAACGCAGGTGAGACGCTCAGTCATGACATGCGAGGAGGTGGGGAGAGTGGGGGGAGGAAGGAGGGGATGAGAGTGGGAGGTTTCGACTACTGCTGGCATCAGCTTGACCAATTCCTGGACCGGTTTATACGAGCGCTCTTATGGAATCCTGCTGACTCAATTCGTGTGTTCAGGTAACTCCGGTGGTCCTCTGCTCGACTCCTTTGGACGGATCATCGGAGTAAACACTGCAACTTTCACCCGATCAGGTTAGTCATGTCACAGGAGTGGATGTGAGCTTTCGGTCGTCTTTGGTTGACTGTTGCAAGTGAAGGCGGTTTGGTTGGTAGCTGTGCACGATTCTCAACTGTGTTGTGGTTCCCGTCCCCTCCACATTGCACATCACAGGTTCTGGCTCGTCATCCGGGGTCAACTTTGCCATCCCAGTTGACACGGTCAGGAGAGTGGTGCCCCGACTTATTGTCTATGGTGCTCCTAGACCACCAGCTGTGTAGGCACTACGTATTATTTCCTTATTGAGCAGGGGCCAATCGTTGCTCCTCATATTGTATCAAAGGTGGTGATGAAGTAAGAGAGGTCCTGGAATAAGGAGATGACCACAATTTGTTCTTGACTACCGTATATGATTTCTGGTTTGTTTCTTGGTCCTACACCACACTTCAACTTTACAAAGAGAGTTTAAGTTTTTATTATGGCCGTAACCGCACAACTTTACAAAGAGAATGCTTGTACAGACAACCAACGTGGCATGCTGAGGGAACGTTATCCACGTCACCACATCCTCACCCTCGATTTCACCTACTTCGCGAACCTTCGCGAAATAGTCACTCGGCTGTACCTTCGATGTTCTGAATTCGCCAATTGCAGACTCAGGAACCTGGAGCCTGTCAGTTACATGACTGGTTGCGGGTAACCCTCTTTCTTCGTTAGTAGTCGAGAAACCAAGGAAACATCCTTGACTGTACTGCAGCCTCCTTTCCCACCTCGCTTCCCATCACACCCCATCCCCGCCACAGCAGCAACGAACAGTTCCCAAGGTAAAACGACCCTACTGATATTGTGGACTCCCTCCAGAGAAGATTCTTGGTTAGACTTTTATCATGGCTGCCTTTGCGAGCTCTCTCGCGCTCTCCGCCTCCGCGGCTCCCCGCGCTGCCGTCCGCTGCTCCGCTGCGGAACCCGCTCCGTCCAGCCAGGCCGCTCCCGCTCAGGTCCGCGTAGCGTCGTCGGGCCTTCCGTCCTTCGCGAGGGTGTCGGCGGAGAATGCTGCGACGGCGATTGACCCGTCTGCGACGTTCGCGAACGTGATGTGGGCGAAGACGTACAACACGCAGATTCTGGTGGGCGAGAGCGAGAGCACGGAGTCGGTCGTGCGACGGTTTAAGAAGATTTGCATGGAGGCGAACATCGTGAACGAGTGTCGCAGGCGACGCTTCTTCGAGACGCAGCAGGACATCGTCAAGCGCAAGCAGAAGGACGCCGCCAGGCAACGCAAGCGATTCTCGTGAGTCTCCCGTGGCTACCCTAACATTGTCCTTTCTGTGTCTGTTTTCCTTTAGCGCAACTATGGCGTTAAGAGACAGCTTTATCGTTCACTAAACAAAAATTAGCGACAATGCAGTCATTCTCTTCGCGTCCGAGACGGCTCGCGGCGGAAAAGTCAGGGTTTATGCTTCCGTCGGACGGAACACGAGAGCGGCTTATCTGCGACGCAAGTTAGGGTTTTGCGCGCATAGAAACGCCAACGGGCAATCGTGGGATGGAGGTTAGTCTGGGCGGCACACATGGCGCGCGAGTGCGGCTTCGACGTCGTTGTAGGCGTTACGCGAGCAGGAATGGGTAGCACGTGGGCGGCACTTGGGCGGCACTCGATGGGACATGACGTCGCTCGTAAAACGCAAAGGAGGCCACGACCAGACTGATTAGATTCGTCGAGTAGTCAGGGTAGGGTGGAGTGGAAGTGGAATCGTGGAGTAAATGCATTCGATCAACTGTAGCAGAGCCTCTCGCGCATCCAACGGCTGTAGCAGAGCAGCAGCAGTTGCAGGAGGGAGTCGAGTAGAAGAATCTTATCGACGCCGCAAAGATCGTCTCATCACACGTGGATGAGGATGAGCAGCAGAGGCAGCAGCGGCTGGCGTCGTAGGTAGGAGGCTTCCGGCAGTGGCGCAGGTGATTTTAGCGGTATCGGAAACTTATAAAACTGACACAAGAATAGGGACTGTAGCGATGTGTCACGTACAACGCGGTATCGGTCCGTAGCAGCATCCCACCAGTTGCATTACCGGAACGAGACATGTGCCACCGGCTGCGCGTTGCCGGAAAGGCTGTCTTCGTCGCCTTACTGCTGCTCCTCAACTTGCCCCACCTTCTCCTTCGTCTCTACGCTTATCTCCCGGCCTTCCCCTTGTGCTCCCCGCGTCCCATCCGCCTTCGCTCCAGTACTGCTCCTTCCGCCACACCTGTCACTCATACGCGTTTGTTGCTATAACTTTGCTATAACTCACTCCAGTACACCTGTCCAGTACTTACTCTGTCCATTTGTTGCTATAACTTTTGAGTCTACACCCGATTGCGCCCGTGCCCTTGCAGGCGCCAGCCTAGCAGCAGTTGAGCGACATGGCATAGCATACCATATCATAACATCATACCTTTCCATACCTCATGTCATGGTCATCTGATGCCATGATGTATGTATTCTGCTGCGCATTGCCCTTCCATGCTTCCTCCAGTCCACGCCACTTCTGCCCCTCACCCTTCGTCTTGCGTTCCTCTTCCAGCAGCCGGGAACGCACCGTTCTTGCCCTGTCCGTTTCATTCATTCATGACCTTTCTTTCTCGGCTGCTCCCCACCCGTCCACCCCACCACAGGCGTGCCTCCTCTGGCCCGCGCCCCTTCTTCACGCGTGACCCGGCAGCGCCCAGCAAGGCAGCAGCCACAGACATGCAATGCCTGACCTCTGCACCTCTTGTGCCCTCTGTCTGCTCTCCACCCTTCCTCCCCTTCACAGGCGTGCCTCCTCAGGCCCTCGCCCTTTCTTCACGCGTGACCCTGCGGCGGCCAGCAAGGCAGCAGCCACCTCCAACGACGATGATGATGACTTCTGGGATGCCAAGGTCGAGCTGTAGAGGGGACTTGTCATTCGTGGGCTTTAATGCTGGATATTACTGTACTGTAGCTGCTTCAAGTCATTGGCAGTGCGTAACTACAGCAATTTCCATGAAGTTCTGATCTACCTACAAAGTGTAAAAAACTGGAGATGCAAGGAAGGAACAAATGAGTGGGTACCGTACTGTTAAGATAGTAGGAGCAGTGAATGGAACAGAGAAGAGGGCTTTGGACTAGCAACAGCAGGATACATATAGGAAACCCTAAATTGGGCTGTACTCGTTATAGAGTACCCCACTGTAGGCTAGACAAATATAACATTCTGGCACACCCCCATAGCCAAAGTGGGGTGTAATCAGCACAATAAGCAGGCAGAGCAATAATTCACAATGATAAGCGAAGCTAAAGGCTATCACAGAGGGCAAGTGAAAAGGAGGAGAGACCGTGGGGGCGAGAAGATGGGAGGCGACGGCTTAAGCTGCAGACACACGTGCAACAGGAGCGGCGCGCACTGTGGCTACCGGCGGCAGAGCCCCGGACTGCAGGAGTAACAGGCTCCGCGGCTAAGACGAGCGGCAGGAGCAACGGACCAGGGCTGACGATATCAGACTATTTTAGTCTGATTGTCTGAAATTTCAGACTTTTTTCCTGACATTCCTGATTTTTCAGAGTTGGCTGGTTTTGAAAAATGAGTGCTTCAGACTAATGGTTTTTTCGATACTGAAAAATTCAGAGAACTTGCTTACCGGATAATGAGTTATCATACTACAGAGTACGAACTCCCCTTCGCCATACCTGTTACTTCGAGGAAAACCCATCCCTCCGAACTTGTGCAAAAGGTTCGTTAGTAGGAAAACCTGCCTTAGTCTCTGAATTATAAAATTTTCAGAGTTATACTTCTCTGGTTCCTGAGAAATCAGAGTATTCACTTTTTGGAAAATGGGCCTCAGACTAACAAAAAATTGGGGGCCAAAAAAATCAGAGTGGTTTTCTTCGAAAAGTCAGCCCTGCAACAGACCCACGGCAGGGCCTCAGATTCCAGGAATTTTACCCTGATTTCCTGATGTTTGACCCCGGTTTTTTATTGTAACCCTGATGAATCAGCCTTTTTGTTTTTACAACCCTGATGAATCAGTGTTTTTCTTTTCCTAATCCTGATTTTCCAGTGTTTCTAGTTTGTCGACACTGACGAGTCAGTGTTGTATCGGAGACGACCCTGAAACCGAAAACTCCGTGATTCTCGCAGTTTTGCGCGCCGTCATCATGCATGAACCCACCCTGCACCGACGCCACCCTGCGGCGCGCCCAGATACAGTTGAACGGGTTAATTTCGGGCTGTGTTGGCAAAACGGCGTAAAGAGATTGGCTGTCCCAGCTGAAGCAATGTACCGTTGTCACGTTGGATAACCTACACTTGTCATTACTTTCCATTGATGTGCACAAACAACCAAGCCTAGTGGCCCAGTGGGCCAGTGGTCTGCCTTGTTCTTTCCACCAAGGCAGGGCGTGCTGGGGCGGCCCGCTCAGGCACCCCACGCAGGGGGTCTCGTGATCCTGCCATTCCAGCTCTCCAGACTCCATCCCTTTCCGAAACATCAATCTCTGCAGTCTCCCTGAAGCCTGCTCGGCAGGCTCTCTCTCTCCCAGGGTTTCTCGTTACTACTCACCGATTCAGGAAGGTGACGTGAACGCGCCATGGCGATCACCGGTGAGAACAGCTGCGGTGATGATGACGACGATGCACTTTACGCCGCCACCGAGATGCTGGAGGCCAGAACGGGACTAGATTTTCTAGTTTCCGCGCTCTCCCATGAAAAGAGAAGCCAGGTCCCGTCGCCTCAGTAGCAAACACTGGTGAAGCGTCTGGCCTCTGCCGCGGAGACGATCGTCCCCAGCCCGCGCATACTGCTAAGCCGGCCGTGCCGTCAGCAGCCGGACCGAGCGTCCGCTTGCCATCTCGTGCGTCGTCGTCGAAGCCTCCGCCTCGTTACAAGCAGGCCGTGCTCCGTTGGGCCGATCCTACAGATCCTGGACGTCCTCTCGCTGATGCCGGTGAGTCGGTAAACCACGTTACGCCCACGCCATCTAACTCTAAAAAACCGTCACTAACCACTCTGATTTACGAAGAGGCCCTTGAAACGTTCAAGTCGACGTGGTCGACCGACTACCCATGGCTCATCCTCATAAAAAACACTGCTGGCATGCCTGCGTTCAAGTGCAGATTGTGCATCGACTTTGCAGGTGACGGTGGCAAGTGTGGCAAGAGTGGGCACGGTGCAACCGATCTTCAGACCCAAGCCTTCAAGCGGCATGCCGCGACGAACAAGCACCAGTTGGCCATCAATCACCAGAAGCAGATGCTAGCTCAGGCTGGGATGCGCGGCTGTCGGACCTCATGTGCATGGCATTGCTGCCGTACGAGCCCGACTGGGCGGAGGTGGTGAAGATCTGGAGGGCGTACAAGAAGCGCAAGCCCATCACAACAGTGGCAGCACCAAAGAAGCAACCTAGTGCTAAGGGGAAAGAGAAGGTGGACGAGGATGATGCTGGTGGTGCTGGCTCTGGGTGGGGGACAGAGACCCCCGTGCACAGGCACGGTTCTATGAGCGATGGTGGTGGTAGTGACGAAGATGAAGACATGTGTGTGATGTGAATTGTGTGTGCGGTGTGAGCGCCAAGTGGTCTGTGCCTGTAGTTAGATTAGAAGCTCATTAGAACCATATTTGAACTTTTCTTAACTTATTATACTTGTGATACCGGTAGTTGTTGTGGATTCTCACCGCCAGTGTTTTTTTAAAACTCACGCTGATGTGTCAGGGTTTTTTTTTTTCTAACCCTGAGAAATCAGTGTTTCTCCATTTACAACCCTGATGATCAGTGTTACAGCCCCAAAGGACCCTGAGTGCTCAGGGTCACCCAAAACGAATCTGAGGCCCTGACCCACGGGCGAAAGGCGCAGCAGGCTCTCTGGGCTACCAGCGGCAGAGCCCCGGACTACAGGCACTGCGGACGACAAGACGGCTGCCTCCACTCAACCTCCCCCAGCTGTCCCACACCCCTTTCACACACCCCCTGCTGTTCCCCTAGCACTGCTCACACGCCACCCCCCTAGTACCACTCCGACGGCTCCCACACATCCACCCCCCTCAGCGGTAGCTGCAGCAGTGGGGGACGGAGGAGGAGGAGGAGCAGGGGACGGCGCACGCACCCCCATACTCGCCACCCCCAAACCCTAACACAGGCAGCACGGGGCAAGAGCGCGGGCAGCAGCGGGGTAGCGGGCGAGCGGAAGCGGGGCGGCGCGCTGGTCCCTGGGGCGCCTCGACGGGCGACGGTAGGGGGCGACGCGCTGGCCCCCGGGGCGCCACGACGGGCGACGGGAGGGGGCGACGCGCGGGCCCCCGGGGCGCCATGACGGGCGACGGGAGGGGGCGACGCGCGGGCCCCCGGGGCGCCACGACGGGCGACGGGAGGGGGGCAACGCGCGGGCCCCCAGGGCGCCGCGGCGGGCGACGGGAGGGGGGGCGACGCGCGGGCCCCCAGGGCGCCACGACGGGCGACGGGAGGGGACAGCGCGCGGGCCCCCGGGGCGCCAAGACAGGCGACGAAACCGCCGCTCGCTCCCGAGCGCGTGTGGCGGGCAGAAAACCGCCGCGCGCTCCACGCGCGCAGGGCGCGCGGTAGGCATAAGGCATCGCGCGCCCTGGGCGCGCGATGGACATGACAGCAGCGGAAGCTTTAGGTGGGCCCATCCACAGGGTCGACCAGGGAGGGTCGACTTGCTCTGAAACCATGTCAAGATAGTAGGAGCAGTGAATGGAACAGAGAAGAGAGCTTTGGAGTAACAGCAGTAGGATACATATAAGAAACCCTAAATTGGGCTGTACTCACTATAGACTACCGCACTGCAGGCTAGACAAATACAACATTCTGACACGTACCGCTGGTGCGGTGGATTTGGGACGTTTTTATCAGATACCGTCACCCCCTGGATATAAGCGCCACCCTAGGATAAGCGCCTGGCGCTTCTAATTGGCATATGGCGCTTATATCCCCTCCTCGATTATAAGCGCATACCCTAGAGTCTTACGGATTATAGCAGCATACCTTTGCCTTACACATTATAACCGCCCCCCTTTTTTTTAAGTTATTTTTCATTTTAATGTTTTTCTAACCTATACAACTAGTTATACTTTCACCTAAACAACTTCATACGGTAGTTTATCTACGGTTTCTTGAAATTACAGTAGCACTACCATAGGTCTACCTACGAGCCTCACAGGCTACAACAATTTCTACATCTAATCTAGTCATCAGCTGCGGTGGGGTCATCTGGGTCGGCCTCTGAGTCCGACTCGGGTTGCTCTACGTTGTTGTAGAAAAGGCCATCTGCTGCAATGTCATCGTCGATGTCAATTTCGTCGCCTTCGAGGTCGTCGCGCCTGTGTTGTAGGCAGATCTTGTCCTGGGACCCATCCAGGGCGTTACTGATGCCACAGGTGAGGAAAGCTCGTTGAATCAAGTCCTTGAGCACGGCCTTCCAAGCTGCTGATATCCACTTGAGCGTTAGCTCGGGTGGAGGCTTCTTGATGTTGCCTGCCATGAAATTAAACAATCAAAGTCAGCCAGGTCTACAAAGCAATAAGACAACACACGCATGGCCTGCCTGTCTCACCTTTCTTTGTCAAGGTGTCGACCCCCTCGCTCTCGAACCACTCCTGGTAGAGCTGGCGAACGGCTGCCTTGAAGGAGCGATTCACCGCGACGTCTAGAGGTTGAATCTCCGAGGTGCAGCCAGCTGGGATAACGGCGGGGACGATGTTCAGCTCCCTGAACTTCTTCTTCACCTCCGCAGTCAGGTGCCCGCGGTACGAATCCAGGACAAGCATCGCTTTGCGGGGCCTCACTCCGAACTTGGGGTTGACGTACGGCTTTACTGCCCCGTCGAGCCACGCGGTGACACCGTCCGCGTCCATCCAACCGTTGGGATGGACGGACACCGTGATATCTGCACAACCACAAACGCACATACAACATCAGTATAAAGTAAAACAATAAATATGCAGGAGTGGGTGGTAATGCTTACCTGAAGGGAAATCCCCTTTGGGGACGGTCTTCCGTTTGAAGAAGACCCACGGCTTCACCTTCTCACCGGTGGCAGTGCAGGCGAGCATCACCGTAACTCGCTCCTTCTGATAGCCGCCGCTGCGGATGGGCACAGAGTGCAAGCCCACCTCCTCGACTGTATGTTCGGCAGGCATCTCGAGCCACAGTGGAGTCTGGTCCGCGTTTATTATCCACTGCGGACAAACTTCCAGAAGTTCCTGACATCAGTCTCGTAGTCTGGGAGTATGGATGGGAGGAAACGAGAGAACACCGGATTAGTGACGCGTTGGGATACAACCGTCAAACATTAAGAGACAAACAACACAAACCAGTAAACATTGAACGGCCAACAAAAAAAAAAAACAACTCACTGGCCGCAAGCTTCTGGCCGACCCGGGTCTTCTGTCGAGTTGTCAGATTCCAGCGGCGGCGAAACCGCTCAGTCTACCGCTGCGAGCCGGACCACTTTACCTCTGGGTGCAATTCTTTCATCACCTCATGCGACCAATTCTGCAGGCGTGTGATCGAGACTGCGAGATATTTTTTACGGTGGGCCTCTTGTAGACTTCCGCTTCCATGTCGCGATACCACGAGCTCCTTCCGCGCCCATGAAGTCGCTTGCGAGCAGCATGCGCGCCCTCCAGCTCTACCTTTCGGGTCTTCCATTATGCGAGTGACCTTCGAGAGATGCCGGTTTCGCGAGACATCTGCCGCACGCTCATGTGCACGGACTCCACCTTGAGAATCCACTGCAGTTTCTCCTGCGATGTGTACGAGTGCCGCCTGTGACTTGTAGGCTTGTGCCTGGGGGAGGGAGGACGGGCATCGCGATTCTCGCGAGAAGGGTGGGGCCGTTTCTTATTGGGAGGGGGAAAGGTGGGAATAGGCAGGTGCTCTGGAAGACCGTCGGCAGCCCAAAACTCCACGTCGTCCTCTGCACCAGTCGCGGATTCGTCCAACGGGCAATCAACTGGGGTTCCCCAGCGTGACGACGGTGCGGAGGAAGACGATGCGCCACCGGTGCGATCGGGCTCGGTCAGGTAAGCATCAAACGCCCGAGTAGCCAGGAGGGAGGAGAAGCTGCAGAACCCCATGACGTGGAGCAAGAAACACAGGCGGCTCAGGAGGGGACGGAGGAGCGGGAGGAACCGGAGGCGCCGGGGGAGCGGGAGGGGTAGGAGGCGTTGGAGGAGTGGGAGGAACGGGAGGGACTACTGGGTGTGTTGGAGGGATGGGCGCAGGGCGCGTCTGCCATTGAGAGTAGTCACAGGTGTCTCGGCGGGTGTTTTCTCTAGCAGCAGGTTGGCGGCGGAACAAGAAATGCGTGCTTGGAAGGCCCGCCATGGCCACGGCAGGCCAAACGAACGAAGAAACTGAACAAAAAATTGAGAATGAGGGCCGTATGAAGCCCTCGCCCGAGACCCCTTCAGTTTCGCGGCCCGGCCTCCTCTGCGGGAAAAGGGTGGCCACTGTCAAGATTCCCTGCAGAGGAGCTGAGCTGGGCAGCTCGTTGCCTCGGTGGCGGGGAATCTTGCTGTTGATGGGCACGTCGTGGCTGAACCACGACGTGCCCACGATCCAGGGCCTCAGATTCGTTTTGGGTGACCCTGAGCACTCAGGGTCCTTTGGGGCTGTAACACTGATCATCAAGGTTGTAAATGGAGAAACACTGATTTCTCAGGGTTAGAAAAAAAAAAAACCCTGACACATCAGCGTGAGTTAAAAAAAAACACTGGCGGTGAGAATCCACAACAACTATCACAAGTATAGTAAGTTAAGAAAAGTTCACATATGGTTCTAATGAGCTTCTAATCTAACTACAGGCACAGACCACTTGGCGCTCACACCGCACACACAATTCACATCACACACATGTCTTCATCTTCGTCACTACCACCACCATCGCTCATAGAACCGTGCCTGTGCACGGGGGTCTCTGTCCCCCACCCAGAGCCAGCACCACCAGCATCATCCTCGTCCACCTTCTCTTTCCCCTTAGCACTAGGTTGCTTCTTTGGTGCTGCCACTGTTGTGATGGGCTTGCGCTTCTTGTACGCCCTCCAGATCTTCACCACCTCCGCCCAGTCGGGCTCGTACGGCAGCAATGCCATGCACATGAGGTCCGACAGCCGCGCATCCTTGATGGCACCCCTCAGCCAGCTCTTGATGATGTTTTGACGCGAGAACCCCCGCTCGCACTCGACTGTGCTCAACGGTAGCACAGCGACAGCCATCCACAGCTTCACCAGGTTGGGGTACGCGTCCTCCCAGTCAGGAGACTTCAGCATCGCCGAGAGACCCGGGTAGAACTTTCTCTCGGACTTCGGGGCTCCAGCGAGAACCGTGCAGAACGTGCGGAGCTCCTTGAACGCCTTAGCAGTATGCGCGGGCTAGGGACGATCGTCTCCGCGGCAGAGGCCAGACGCTTCACCAGTGTTTGCTACTGAGGCGACGGGACCTGGCTTCTCTTTTTCATGGGAGAGCGCGTAAACTAGAAAATCTAGTCCCGTTCTGGCCTCCAGCATCTCGGTGGCGGCGTAAAGTGCATCGTCGTCATCATCACTGCAACTGTTCTCACCGGTGATCGCCATGGCGCGTTCACGTCACCTTCCTGAATCGGTGAGTAGTAACGAGAAACCCTGGGAGAGAGAGAGCCTGCCGAGCAGGCTTCAGGGAGACTGCAGAGATTGATGTTTCGGAAAGGGATGGAGTCTGGAGAGCTGGAATGGCAGAATCACGAGACCCCCTGCGTGGGGTGCCTGAGCGGGCCGCCCCAGCACGCCCTGCCTTGGTGGAAAGAACAAGGCAGACCACTGGCCCACTGGGCCACTAGGCTTGGTTGTTTGTGCACATCAATGGAAAGTAATGACAAGTGTAGGTTATCCAACGTGACAACGGTACATTGCTTCAGCTGGGACAGCCAATCTCTTTACGCCGTTTTGCCAACACAGCCCGAAATTAACCCGTTCAACTGTATCTGGGCGCGCCGCAGGGTGGCGTCGGTGCAGGGTGGGTTCATGCATGATGACGGCGCGCAAAACTGCGAGAATCACGGAGTTTTCGGTTTCAGGGTCGTCTCCGATACAACACTGACTCGTCAGTGTCGACAAACTAGAAACACTGGAAAATCAGGATTAGGAAAAGAAAAACACTGATTCATCAGGGTTGTAAAAACAAAAAGGCTGATTCATCAGGGTTACAATAAAAAACCGGGGTCAAACATCAGGAAATCAGGGTAAAATTCCTGGAATCTGAGGCCCTGCCACGATCGCATGCAACCCTGATTGGGCCGCTGTGATGCGAAGTACGTGTGCGCTGGCATGGGCCAGGTTCACGTTCGATGAACCTGGCCTGGCCAACGAGGCGTGGAAGGCGTGAGGCCATGCCTTGTTGGCCGTTTCATGCGCAAAGCATGCATATTTTCGTACGTTCTCGACTCAGGTGAATTCGCCTTTGAGAATGCTTCGATTTGGTATATTTAAAAACAAATTTCATTTTTGACAAAACACAAACTCCGTCGCTTATAAATTTACTATATTATAAGCCCACCCCGAAAAAAAAACATGTTTTATTATACCCCCCCATGGGGGTATATCCGGGGGGAGATGGTAGCTGAAAAAGTGGTGAAATTGGCAGGTATGCAACACAAGGCCACCTTAGAAGAGAGCTGACTGGTGAGTGAGGTTATCCTCTATGAAGTCAAGCTTCCAAAATTACAGTAAGCTGGGAATCTTGTTGAACAAGCGCCCAGTTCAGTGCCCAGGACGTAGCTAGCTAGCAATACAGCTACGGTATTCTTCAGTTTGGTTTGAGAGACGGCAAGACAACGAAGTAGCAAAAAAGCAAAATCGTGTCATGGCTTGCTGAAGGCTTCCAGAATGTTTCGGCGAGCCGACAGCTTCTCCACCTTGTCAGGCTTGAGGGACTGCCAGAGAATGGAGTGACGGGTTGGGTCGGAATGGTGGGGATGGATGATGCTTGAAAAGGTGGACACTGGACACCACACCAGTCACCAGAACTCATGGTTTGAACAAACGTATTTGGAGACGTGCTGTGCTTCAAAAGGCATTTCTGTTGTGGTATGCGATACAAAATAATCATGTGTTTATGGTATGGTTTTGAGAAGAACACCATAATATGGTCTCGACACGAATGGACTGCAACTTGGAAAGGCGAATGTGCTCCGTGCTCACATACTCACACTGAGAGCAGCACCGTCTCACACACACGCACACCCACCGCACTGCACCGCACCACATCATGCTCGCAACTCACCCCTACGAGCAGCTTGGAGAGGCGAGCATGCTCCGTGCTCACATACTCACACACAGCACAGCACCGTCTCACACACGCGCACACCCCACCACACCGCACTGCACCTTCGCAACTCACCCCTGCGAGCCGCTTGGAGAGGTGAGCATGCTCCTTGCTCACATACTCACACACAGCACAGCACCGTCTCACACACACGCACACCCCACCACACCGCACTGCACCTTCGCAACTCACCCCTGCAAGCAGCTTGGACAGGCGAGCATGCTCCTTGCTCACATACTCTTCGCCCTGCTCCACAATATTCTTCATCACCTTCTGATAAAACACCCCGTGCCTGGTGGGTGGGGTGGGTGGGGTGGGCGGAGAGGAGAGAAAGAAGCACTTTGAGAGCTACGTCACTCACTCCTCGCCCTGCTCCACTATGCTCCTCATCACCTTCTGATAAAACACCCCGTGCCTGGTGGGTGAGGAGGCGGCATGAGAGGCAAGAAAAAGACAGGCGAGAACCTTCAAAGCTCCTCACATGACCTCTAGAATTCATTCCCCCATTTCCCCCACAAGCTCTCTCCCCCCTCCCTCACCCCCGTCTCTCAAAATCCTCCCCCCTTCTCTCCACACTCTTTCCCTCAGCACTCTCACACCCCTCCATCTCTCCTCCCTCCTCTCAACATACTTCCATGTCAGGGTCACACCGCTCCCACCGCCCGCACCCTTATGCCCCACCCACTCCTTCCTCCCCTCCTCCCCCCCTGAACTCACTCCTCCATGGCAGGCGCCACCACCATCCCCATCACCCGCACCCCAATGCCCCACTCGCCCGCCATTCCCCCCCTCCTCTACTCCCTGCTTTCCCCCCCAACTCCTCCAGCTCAGGCGCCACCACCATTCCCATCGCATGCTCCCTTATGCCCCACTCGGCCCCTAACCCCGTTCCCACTTCCCCCCACCCACCCATCCTCCCCTCCCTCGCACTCACTCCTCCAGCATGGCCGCCACCACCACTCCCATTGCCCTTGTACCCCACTTGCTCCCTAACGCCTTTACCCGCGCCCCCCACCCAAGCAACTCACTCCTCCAGCTCGGGCGCACCACCACTCCCATAGCCCTTCCGCCCCCACTCCCCCTCTCCCCCGGCCCCCCTCAAGCAACTCACTCCTCCAGCTCGGGCGCCACCACCACTCCCATCGCCCGCTCCATCAACCCCTGCTTCTCCGCCTCCGGCGCTTCCACGAAGCTTCCCGCCATCGCGTCCAGCTCAGCAATGCGGCCCACCTGCACGGGGGGTGGGGGGGAGAAGGGGGGGTGAGGGGGCGGAGGGGGAAAGACCGGGGAAAAGGGGAAGGGGAGAGATGGGGGAGGGTCAGAATAGACCTAGGGTGCCCGCAGTGCCTTGGGAAGGGGAACCGCATAGGAGGAGAATTTGGTGTCCGTCCAGTTTTTTTTATAGTTGTAAAAAAAACAGGTTTTGAGAATTAAAATTAAAAAAAAAAAAAAAAAAAACAAAGGAGAGCTTGGTGTCAGAACAGAGGTTGATGAAATACACGAGATTCGTGACGGTGGGCAGGGGGGTTGCTTGCGCTTGAAGGGGAGAGTGACGTACCCTCACTTTACCTGTACCATACCTGAGAAGACCACAGTGACAGTGGCTTATCAAGGGAGACGCCTTAGGAGGATTGTGTGGTGCCGGCCCAGTGATTGACGAAATGCACGAGGTGCACAAAAGCGGCCAGGGGTTCCCTGGTAGGTCTAGGTAGGGAGTGCCGTACCTCATTGTACCGTACCTTATCAAGGGGAACACCATAGGAGGACTGTGTGTTGCCGGTCCATTGGTTGACGAAGTGTACGAGATCAACAAGGGTGGGCAGGGGTTCCCCCTTGGCGATCAACGAGGGAAGAGTGCTATCTCAATGCACCGCACTGTACCATACGGGAACACCATAGGAGGACTGTGTGGTGCCGGTCCATTGATTGACGAAGTGCACGAGGTCAACGAGCGTGGGCAGGGGGTCCCCCTTGAGGTCCCACGAGGGGAGTGTGTCGACCCCTCATTGCACCACACCTTATTGTACCGCACTAAACCACACCTTATCCAGAGGCACCCCAGAGGCGGACTGTGTGGTGCCGGTCCACTGGTTGACGAAGTGCACGAGATCCGTGAGCGTGGGCAGCGGGTCGCCCTTGAGGTCCTCGCCGTACTTGTTTGTCTTGGTGAAGAACTTGAAAAACGGATACTCTGTGATCTTGAACCTGGAGGGGGGGAAGAGGGGGAGGAGCACAGGGAGGAGAGGGACAGGCGGGCAGGCGGGCAGGTAGGGAGGGCATGGGGGGAGGTGAAGCGGATCCCCTTTGAGGTCCTCCCCGTACTTGTTGGTCCTCGTGAAGAACTTGAAGAATGGATGTTCTGTGATCTTGAACCTGGGGGGAGGAACGCGGCAGGGGTCGGAGGGCAGGGGGGCAGTGGGGCAGGAAAGCAGAGGGGAAGGGTGGGAAGTGTGGCAGGGGAACGCATGGGGAGGGGGAACGCAGTGGGAGGGGGAACACAGTGGGAGGGGGAACACAGTGTGCCACACCTGCCACATCAGCATTGCGCACCTGCCACGTCAGCACGCCCCACATGCCACATCAGCACGCCCCACATGCCACATCAGCACGCCCCACCTGCCACGTCATCACGCCCCACCTGTGCGCGAGCATGCCATTGTTGTCGGCATCCACCTTGGCGAACACAATGCTCTCCTCGCCCTTGAAGATGTTCGCTACACACACACGGGGGAGAACGGGTGGGGGCAGGGCGGAATGGGGGCTGCATGGCGTTGCTGTCTATCAGCATCCGCTCTCCTCGTCATCAGAAGTGACGGGTGAGATGAAACGACGGGTGAGTCAAAACGACGGGCGAGACGAAACGACGGGTGCGATGAAACAACGGGTGAGTGACGTGAAATGACAGTTTACCTTGGTCATCTCCTTGCAAGGCTTACACCTGGGATGAGGGAGAGAGGGGAGTGGAAGAGAGGGGAGTGGGAGAGGAGGGAGAGGCAGGAATGGGGATGGTTAGGCAAGGAGGAAATCAGGAAGAGAAAAGCGCTAACGCATGTAAACGAGTGTGTGGGTGCGAGTGCGTGTTTGTAATTGCACCATTGGCCTGGAAAGCAGCGTGATGAAAAACGTATCTCAGCTCACTTCCTCACTCGCTCCCTCAATTACTCACTCACTCCCTCACACACTCACTCACTCCCTGACTCACTCCCTGACTCACTCACTCACTCTTGATCCTCCCTTCTTGAATAAGCTCACCCAGCATCGTAGTAACCCCGTTCCGTTCGTCTCATTCAAGAAAGTGCGCGCGCGAAGCAAAGAGGTGATTCATTCCAACCAGCATGCCCCGGGGTTGAGTAACCATCTGACAACCCCTCTTGGCCTCACTCACACCAACAACCACCACTCACGCTAAACCCCACCACTCACGCTAAACCCCACCACTCACGCTAAACCCCACCACTCGCACCAACTACCACCACTCACGCAGCGTCATAGTAGTAGGTGAAGAGGTGCTTCGTGTCGTCCAGCATGACCACTCACTCACTCATTCATTCACTCCCTCACTCATTCATTCACTCACTCACTCATTCATTCACTCACTCACTCATTCATTCACTCACTCACTCATCATCCACTCACTCACTCATCATCCACTCCCTCACTCATCATCCACTCCCTCACTCATCCACTCCCTCACTCATCATCCACTCCCTCACTCATCATCCACTCCCTCACTCATCATCCACTCCCTCACTCATCATCCACTCCCTCACTCATCATCCACTCCCTCACTCATCACATCATCCACTCCCTCACTCATCATCCACTCCCTCACTCATCATCCACTCCCTCACTCATCATCCACTCCCTCACTCATCATCCACTCCCTCACTCATCATCCACTCCCTCACTCATCATCCACTCCCTCACTCATCATCCACTCCCTCACTCATCATCCACTCCCTCACTCATCATCCACTCCCTCACTCATCATCCGCTCCCTCACTCATCATCCACTCCCTCACTCATCATCCACTCCCTCACTCATCATCCAATCCCTCTTGCCTCCACTCACGCAGCATCGTAGTAGTAGGTGAAGAGGTGCTTGGTGTCGTCCAGCATGACCGAGGGGAACCAGTCACAGCCACACACTCTTAATGCAATCCCTTGACAGCACTCACAATAAACACCTCCACTCACTCACACCAACTACCACCACTCACGCAGCATCATAGTAGTAGGTGAAGAGGTGCTTCGTGTCGTCCAGCATGACCGAGGGGAACGCCCACGTGGTGAGCTCCATCACCCGCGACTCCTGCTCCGTCTCCACCCTGCCCTTGGTGCCTGGTGGATGGGGGAGAGGAGAGAGGACAGGGGGCAGAGGAGACAGACGATCCAATGGGGACAGGCCGTGCCTTTGAGTTGGGAGGACACACCCCACGTGGTCAGCTCCATTACTCGTGACTCCTGCTCTGATTCCACCCTGCCCTTGGTGCCTGCATGCAGGGACGGGATCGCGGGAAAGGGAGGAGGAGAGGAGAGGAGCACGTGGAGCAAGGGGCCTGTGAGTCAATACGCGCCCACGTGGTGAGCTCCATAACTCGCGACTCCTGCTCTGATTCCACCCTGCCCTTGGTGCCTGCATGGAAGGAAACGGGAGGGGGATATGCACGGGAGAGGGAGGCGGAGGAGGGGGAAGGGGAGGGGGAAGGGGAGAGGGTCCAGTAGGGAGGAGTTTCAGGCAGCGAAGGGAGTGGAGGTTGGGGAAGGAACGCGTCAATTACATTGGTATGACTTTTGAGAATTCTCAAAAGTCATACCACACATCTTTTTTTGTCGGTCGTATGTTAGAACCACGCATCCCGCACCGCCCACTCGCCAGGCAATGCGCCTCAAACTACAGCACAACTCCCCAAACCCACTCGCCAAGCCTGCCGCCCACTCGCCCAATCCTGCCGCCCACCACTCACCAAGCCAGCCACCCACTCACAGAGTCGACTGTTGATAAAATCCACGAAAACATTGGCCTTCCTGTCCCCTCCATAGCTGGCATGTCGTGGCATGGGATGACGTAGCGTGGGGTGACGTGGCACAGTGTGGAATGGCATGGGCGCAAGGCAAGAGGATAGGGGGATGGATAAGCTCCACGTGGATGAGTGATGTCTATGCTGGGTTAGGAGAGAGGGGGAGTGGCGGATAGAGAATGAGTTGCCAAGCATATGGCACAGCACCACACAGCACCGCACAGCACCCACGCTGCCCCCTCCCTGGGCAGCAGCAGAGAAGCATATGAGCGTGGTGTAGCCTTTTGTGAATCGACACAACTGATTGCATAGTACTGAGGTTAACATCTATTGGCGGCACACCCTATCACACCCCATCACACCCCATCACACCCCATCACACCCCAGAACCTCTCAGCACACCCCAACACTAACTCCACTCCCCCCTAGCAGAGGGGAACCACTTGCACGTGGGGATAGTCTTACAATTAATTCCCCACGCACGCACACGCGACTTACTGGCACGGCACAGCTCAGTACCGCACAGCACCACACAGCACTCACTCTTCCGCTCCCCCCTGGCCAGCAGCGGGGAACCACTTGAGCGTGGGGTATCCGCGGACCTCGTGATTGGTGCACAGCTCCGCGTGCGCCTGGCAGTCCACCTGCGCGCGCACAATGGGGGGAGGCGGGGAGGGGAAAAGGCGGAGGTGGGTGAGGGGAAAAGGCGGAGGTGGGTGAGGGGAAAAGGCGGAAGTGTGAGGGGGGATCAATCAGGCGCCTTTAAACGCACAGCTCCGCGTGCGCCTGGCAGTCCACCTGCGTGGATGGCAGGGGGAACGCGGGAGGGGGCTAAGGGGAGGCGGAAGGGGAACGGACGGAGGGGGAGGATAAAGGGGGGAACGCGAAAGCGGGGATTCGTGAGGCGCCTTCAACCTTGGCGACGCGATGAGACCCACCTTGGCGACGCAATGCGACGCACCTTGGCGACGCAATGCGACCCACCTTGGCGACGCAATGCGACGCACCTTGGCGATGAATTGCGACGCAGCTTGGCGACGCAATGCGACGCACCCTGGTGACGCAATGCGACACATCTTGGCGACGCGACACGACGCACCTAGCGACGCGATGCGACGCACCTTGGCGATGCGGATGGCGTCGGAGTCTTTGAATGCCGTCGCCACCTTCTCCCAATCCGGCGCCAGGCGCTGGCAGTGCCCGCACCTGCGAAAACAGGGTTGCGAAATGCGAATTCGAGTTGCGAAGAAGCGGAAACGCGAGTTAACAAAGGTGTCGAGTTAGTAACACGAACGACGATATCCGTGTAGCTTGTTATCATTGGGTTGAAGCAATTGCCAGGGTTAAACCGGAGGGCCAAGAAGGCCCAAATTGCCTCAACCTTCCTAACCTTGGTTGAGTTTGGCCCTCGCACCCAAAATCTTGGCCAATTGTGTTGCTCGCTCCAACCAAGCTTCCTAAGGTTGACGTTCTTGGCCCGCGGGTCCGCAAGCCCAGCCAATGGCTTGGATGACCACTTGGGTTGGAAATGCAGATGGGATGCACTGGTTACCACTGCACTGTAACATCGACCTGCTAAGAATTCGCAGCGATCCGCTAACAGAAACGAGACCGGGGATAACGTCATCATGAGATACAGCACGCATTATCACGGGCGGGACGCACCAGGGAGCGTAGAACTTCACGAATGTGACCGAGTCGCCTCCCACGTGGTCGTAGAAGTTCGCCGGCGTGAGCTCCAGCACGTCCGAGTTCTCCGCGCCGTCCGCCGCCGATCGCGGCACTGCGAGCAGCAATGCTGTCAGCAGAACAAGCGCGGCAATCGCGATAGGCGGAGATCCGGTGACGAGTCGCGGGCTGTCCATTATGATCGAGGACTCGACGGAAACTGTCACGCACGGCAGCGCGGCGGCTTCTACATAAATATTCCGGAACAAGACTGGGACAGAGGAAAAGACTTCACCGCCTTCACTCCTGTGAGGATGATGAGGAGAACTGTGGAACTGTCAGTCAAGTTCAGCAGCAGTGTCGTACTCAACACTTCACTGCCTCCACCCCAAGCTACAGAGGAGCAGTCTTTTTGTCGTAATCACACGGGGAGGTGAAAGCTGGATACATCGGACGGTTTATATCTCTTGTTCCGTTTTGAATCGAAGTGAGTATCCTCTTTATAACATCGGTAACCTCGAAACCTGTCCACAAGACCAAGTTGTGGGACTTCAAGAGGAAATTCAGGACGAGTCCCGATCGAGACGCGTGCTGATGCTTACCTCTCCGCTAATGGCTGGAAGCAACCGGACTTCTAGAAGCCGCATTTGCAAATGGAAGTTGAAACAGTGATAGCTTACACTCAGTACGTTTATTGTGTACAGCTTGATACACGATTTTCAGGGGGTCCGAGAAATAGATTCTTTTACTATTCATAATAATAACAAACCCCAGGGGCGGTTAGTGGGATGCAAATATTAAGGAACTAAAGCTTTTTGCCACTGTGAAAGCTATATAATAACTGAAAGCGAATGACTAGCACTAGCCTGATCAAATAATATCTCTTTTCAACACTGAAACATAGCGTTTGAACAATTCATACACTATAACAAAACAGGATCTTCCAAACCAATGTTTTAAATACTCAATATCTGATCCACAGTTGACGAGCTGACCAGTGGAAGGGAGACTATCCATAAAGAATGAAATGCTTGTCACGAGTTATGATGGGTTTGGAATGTCGGTCTCTATATGATGGGTTTGTTGACGGCTGCCGTTGACGACACCCTGCTTCTCATGTCATTGGATGCGATGCGTGTGTTCTGTCGACGCATGCGATGATGCGATACCCGAAGGGCATGCGACTGCGGGTAACGGATGCGAAAACGGGAGTGGGAAAGGTGGTTTTAGGTGCTGATGGATGGCCAAATATTCGTGCGGCTTCGCACGATCGACGCGCGGTAAGCGCGGGAACACGAATACCGCGGTTGTGAAAAATCGGCTGCGGCGAAAATTGAAATTTGAGGGGGCGGCTCGGCTTTCAATTTGCGCCTTTCCACTCCGAGAGAAATTTCGACGCCAATTTCAACGCCCCCCAACCAACATTTCGATTTTCACCAGGCAGATTGGTCAGCAGGCACCTCCGGGTCGAGGCAACAGTGGAGCTGGGCAGCAGGTGGGGCAGCAGCGCAGCAACAAAAATCGATTTGACTCGACTCGACTCGGCTGAGGGTTTCCCATCCAAACGAAAATCCATCCAACGGGCGGATGGAAACGAGATTTGTAGGGCGGGCCGCCTAAAGGTGGGGCTGGGCGTCAAAGACTTACCAAACTCAAAACCAGTTTGAGGTTTCGTCACGAAACGGAGGTGCGTAGATGGCGGTGGGAGCTCGTAGAAGCATAAGCTGATTATCCGATAGCGCCGACACTTCCGCTTAGTTGCGTGAGACGAGGCAGATGTACGTCCGTCCGTAGAACGTTATCGTAGCTGCAGTCTCCCCTCCTTGTGACCAGGCCGCCATAGCTCCCAACACGGCTAATCCCAGTAACGCCATTTCGTTAACGGCCAGCAGTTGCCGGCACCTACCGACAGCGTTAGTTTCCATAGTTGTTAGTACTATAATTATATATAAAAAAACTTCACTGCCGATCCACGAGCCACGGCAATAGCGATATCAGACGAGATAACATTCATCCATGGCGCAACTTGCCATGCTTCCGCTAATGGAGGAATCACCCGTGGCCGACGATAACGGCGGATATAGCGGCGGATATAACGGCGGCATGTTCGCTCAGCAGACAAGCCCCGCGCCTCCCTTATGGACCTCCCTAGACGCCATGCACGGGCTGGACCACGAAGCTTCTGGGTTCCTTCCACTGGACGCATCCGACGGAGACGAATCGCAGCAGCAGCAGCAACAGTCGGACTACACCCACCACCACAGTCGCCAGCCGTCGGATCATCTCAACGTACGGCGAGATCTTCTCGAAGACGATAACTTCGGCAGCAGCGAGTTCGACCCGTCGTCAGCGGCGAGCGGAGCGGGGGAGTGTGTGATGCTGTACCAGGACGCGCAGAGGGGGGAGGAGGAGGACATGGTGGGGAGCCTTAACCTCCGCATCTCCCCGCAACCCGACGCGTCCGATCTCACATCGGCGCTTTTCTCCGAAGGCCAGGCGAGCAACAACGGCGGCGGTGCGACGCTCGGCGGGTCATCGTGGCAGCTGTGCGACAATCTGTTCGCAGAGCCGATCGTCGACTGCGGCGAGCTGCTCTCCGGCGACGGCGACGGCGACGATCTGCTCGCGGCGTCCGCGGGGCACGACGAGGCGGAGCAGGCGGACGGCGGAAGCGGCGGAGAAGAAATGGAGATGAGAGACCCAGCCGCCGCGTATCTCACGCCGGAAAAGGCACCGCAGATGCCGACGACTTCGGACCCGGCGGAGGTGGCAACGCCGGGGTGTGACAATAGCGAGGGCGATTTCAGCACGCCGCAGGTACCAAGCGCGGGTTTCTCCCGCCCGCGCAGCCGCTGCCCGACGGAGCGGGGACTGGCGCAAAAGGGCGCGCTCATGACCCCGTCCGGCGGAGCAACGGTGCGCTCAACCCGCGAGAACCTGATGCGGCGGCTGGGGCAGGCGGGCGGAGCGGCGGAGCCGTGGACCCCCGTAACCCCCGCGAAGGACGAGGCGGGGAAGCGGTCCCCCGACCAGCTTGCGCGCGTGGCGGTGTCGCTGGATGCGGAACTCGGTCTGTTCGCGGACTCCCCACCGCTGCTGTGGAACGGAATGGCGCAGCAGCAGCCGCCCCAGACGCAAGGGCAATGCTTCCAGATGCCCCAGTACCAACAACAGCAGCAGCAGCAGCAAGTGGCGTTCAGCAACGGACGAATGCTCGAAGCGTCGAGTTCTCGGACCATGCCTGCCGGCGCCGTGCAGAGCATGCTCGGCGCGCAGCAGCAGCAGCAGCAGTACGGGGTGGCGAGTCAACAGCAACAGCAGCAGGGCTTGGCGGGGCAGCACGGGTTCTGTGCGACGCCCGGGGAAGGCGCGCACATGCGCGCGGACCCCGCGGAGGCGTCCGACATGTCGCTCTTCTTCGATATGGAGCAGCAGCAACAACAGCCCCTGCCGTCGCCGCCGCAGCTCCAGCAGCCGCAGCAGTCCCAACAGCAGTACCACCAGCAGCACTACCAGCAGCAGCAGCAGCAGCAGCCACAGCAGCAGTACCAGCAGCAGCATCAGAGCCGGGGGTATCAGCAGATGCAGCAGCAGCAGGAGTCGGACGTGGTGCGTGATTTCCTCTCCTCGTCTCCAGACGGCGATGCTGCTCTCGACAGCTTGGTTCTTGACGGCCTGCCGTGCGACAGACGGCTGTCCTGCCAGAAGATGCTGCCCAAGGATCTCGCATCGTTGATGAACGACGCTGACGTGGACGCGTCTGCCGCCACGTGGCCGCAGCCAAGCAACAACAACGCCGTGTCACCTCCCCTAAGTAACGGCTACAATGCTGGTACCCTGAGCATGGATGCAGCGGCACCAGCTGCTACTACTGCTACAACTGCGTCGGCCGGAGCCTGCGTGACTCGCCCGCCGTCTGTCTACCCTGCTGCCCCCTCCTCCTCCTACCAATCCTCCCACCTCCTCACCGCCTCCTCCTCCGGCCCTCTGCTCGGCTCCTCCGCCGGCCCTCCCCCGCCTCCGCGCGTTCTCTCCGCGCCGGCGCCGTCCGCGTCGTCCGCGCAGTCCGCTGCGCCCTTGCGCCTGACGATGCCGCTGCTGGTGATAAACCGACGCGCGCCCGTGCCCCCTGCCGCGCAGGTGGGTGGCGGTGCTTCCGCCCCTTCAATGTTCCCCCAGAACCAGAACCAGAACCAGAACCAGAATCAGCAGCAGCCGTCGCTGCAGCAGCAGCAGCCGAAGGCGATTCACTTGAGCTGTTCGTCCTCCCATCAGCTGCAGCTGCAGCAGCCGCAGCAGCAAGCGCCACCCATGCACCAGCACCAGCAACGACAGCCGCAGCCATACCAACCTCAGCAGAGTCAGCAGCCACCGCAGCAACAGTTCCAGCAACAGCAACACCTTCAGCAGCAGCATCAGCAGCAGCATGCCCATCCTCCGCAGTACCAAATGCCTCCGCAAGCCAACCACCAGCCCACCTCCTCCCATGCGCAAGGTCGCCACGAGCACCACCATCAGCACAACTCAGCCTGCCCGTACCACAGCCAGCAGCACCAGCAACCCCAGCACCACCAAGCGCAGCCGCAACTCCAGACCCAGCAGCGCGTGCAGCAGCAGCAAAGCGTTTGCCCCACTCACCCCCAGCACCAGCAGCCGCAGCAGCAGCAGCAGCAGCAGCCATACGCCCAGCCCTGCCAGCCGCAGCAGCAATGGCAACAAGCCCCTCCTGCTGCTCAGCAACAGCCGCAACAGCAGCAGCAACAGCAACACGTCGGCAACAATAGCCGCAATGACAGCAACTACGTTCGTCAACCTCAGTTCCAGACACAGCAGCACCTGCCCCAGCAAAGCCTGCCCCAGCAGCAGCCTGCTATGCCACCCCAGGCGCTGAATCAGCCACTGAAGCCGCAGCAGCAGGCACCACCACGGGTGCCCCCCGCGTTTCAGCAGCCACCGCACCCACAGCAGCAGCAGCTGCAGCAGCAGCAGCCGCAGCAGCCACGCATGCAGCAGCCGTCTCAAATGCAGAGGCAGAACAGCCAGTCTCGTGGATGCAGTTTGCCTCAAGGAGCCGTCGCTGCTCCTCCTGCACCGGCTCCCAAGCAGCCTGCTCAACGACCAACGTCGTCCGGAGGTACAAAGCGGAAAGCACAGGAGCCATCAAGCAGCAGCGGAAAGGCCACGTCATCACGAGCCCAGCCTCCAGCAGTAAAAAGGATCAAATCTGAAGACGCCTGCGAGGCGACAACCAGGCAAGCTTCACTAGTTACTGCTTCTGCTTCTGCTCCAGCTGCAGCGGGGCCGGTTGATCTGACGTGCAGAGAGCAGGAGCAGCTGGGATTGGAGACTGGCGACGACTGTGATGGGGTGGTGTTGAACGAGCCATCAGCAAAGGGATCTCGCAGTGGTACCACTGCTGCAGCCGCTGCATCTGCTGCTGGTGCTGCTGGCACTTCTGCTGGTGCAGTGAAGGCTGAGGCTCCTGCAGCTGATGCGAAGAATGTGAAAGCGAAAGCGGAGGTGCAAGTGAAGGAGGAGCCAAGCAAGGCCGGGAGCCGAGCAGGCGGATTGACTGGAAGCAGCTCTCAGAAGGAGAGTGGTAACCAGGCGTTCCAGGATGACTTGGGGGAAGATGGAGCGGTGGAGGACGGGGAGGACGACGAGGGAGGGGTGATGGTGGGACGAAAGAGGTCGTTTGTGCAGAATCCGGCTGCTTCTGCTGCGAGGAAGAGAAGGCATGACATGAACCAGCGGCTGAAAGTGCTCGTGGATCTCGTCCCTAACAGCAGCAAGGTGTGTGCGAGTACTGAAATCAGGTCTCTTTCTCTTGCCTTATCCGAGTCTCATTTTGCCTGATATCACATGAAATGTACAAACAGAGGGCACGTGGCTAAAAAGTTACTGTTTCATTTCCGTGTGCCTGTTGTTTATGATACAGGGAGACACTGCATCAATGCTGCTTGAAGTTATTGACTACGTGAAGGCACTGATGTCTCGGATCTCTGTAAGTCGCTTGTTCCGACAACTTCTCTCGCTTGTCCATTTTGCAAAGAATTTGACGCTTTTGTAAAGACTCGAATCGTTTCTAACCTTCTTCCAGTAACTTTCGTGAGTGCAGGAAGCAGTGGGCGAGAACACCAGTCAAGGGCTAGGACTGACCAAGAGTTCAAGCATCCAGAGCCAAGGATCACCACAAGTGGTAAGATCCCAAACTCATTATCAATCACTACATTCCTTGTCTCCTTCCAGCATATGTTCCTGGAAGCTTACTGTATCAGAGCCACGAATTTTTCAGCTCTAGTCTCACTCGGTTTCGTCCTGCTCCATGATTGTTTCTGAAATGGTTTTCAGGAATCCGAGTCCAATCCCAATGGATCACAGCAATGGACTTCACAGCAATCCGCTCCACAGCAATCCATGCCCTGCAATGGGACCTCCGTGTTGCCACCAGCACCATGTAACGATCCAACGGCTGGCATGCTTCCCGCGATACCGACGAACGGGATGAGTGCGCGAGCCCTTCAGGCTGCGAAGTTCCGCATGCGACGAAAGTTGATGGCAGCGAAACTTAAAGCGGAACGGAAGAATGGCGCTGCACCGAGCGTTACGAAGGATAGCGAAAACGGCGAGGTGGTTTCAAGTGATGGTGACAAGTCAACGGGTGACGCGAAAGGCCCCCAGCGAAATCTAGCTTCGCGCCAATGCGCTCTCGTCAAAGTAGCACTTGCTAGGAAAGTATGCGCACTTCAGCTGAAGAATCACAATACTATGTAGAGTTAGCATAAACAAAACATAGGCATGGCAATAACAAACACACCCTTAATTTGATTTGTTCTAATGTATTGCACTGTATTGATTTCCCTTTACAAGAGCTGGCACGCTAACAGAGCAGTGATATAGAAGCGTAAGGCTCCACATGATATACCACAAACCTCCAGTGCTTGCTTGTTATACACACGCGTTGGAGGCCACTCAAACATCCGTCTCAGTTTTGGGGAAAAAGATCAACTGCAGTACAGTATGACACAATGGCTGGTTGGGTTTACTTCGATGCTCTGCCAGCATTAGGGACGAAAGCTGACAATATATTCTTTCGAATGGTGAAGTCATCGACCTTTTCAGGCTTCAGATCCTGCCACACAGTCAGGCAGTGGCAAACAGAGCAGTAGCAAGCAGATCAGTCATGAACAGTGAGGCCATAAGTCCAACGGTGGAGGTCCAGCCAACAAACCACTCACCACTCCAAGATTTGCAAGCAGAACCACTGAAAGCACCAAAGGATCCGGCTTGCAAGTTGCAATGGCCATGAACGTCAGAGAGTGCTTTACAATGAAACTACATGATGCTACGAACAGTACCCACCCCGTCAAGGACTTTGGAGAGGCGCGCAATTTCCTTCTTTACATACTCATCCCCTTTTTCCACCACACTCCTCATCACCTTCAGGTACCGCTCTGCATGCCTGCAAGGCACAAGGGAAGGAGGGCGGGAGGCGGGGAGTGGGAGGGGAGAAGTGGGTTTTGAAACGTATGAAAATCTCCTGGGTATGCACCCCCCTTGTCCACCCCATTCTGCATCAAGTAAAGCTCGTCCACCCCTCCTTCTAACCCTCTCTTACTCACCCTCACTCCGTTCTCCCTCTATGTGCCCGCCATTTTGTCCCTCACTCTCTCACCCCCCCCCCCTGGCTTTGCTCAACCCCTCTCACCTCCCTATCTTGAAACATCCCCATCCCCTCTTTACATCTCTTCATTCCCACTCCTCTCTCATCGCTCCCCAATCTCTCCCCTCTCTCCCCCCTCTTCCCCCCCCTCTCTCCCTTCTCCTCCCTTTCTTAATCACCATTTCACAGTCGCCGGCACAGCCACTGCTTCTGCTTCTGCCATCAGACCAGCCCTTTCTTGAGCCGAAGCTTCCAGGAATCTACTCGCAATTCTGTCCAGAGACTCAGTGCGTCCAGCCTGCACAAGCAAGCAGCAGAGGGAGAGGTAGCGGCAAGAAGGCCTATGAGTCCCCATCCCTATGAGCTGACTGAAATGATCCAATCCACCGCATTGGTTAGTCCCCATCTTCCCACTTCTCCCATTCCCCACTTCACACCTCACACTGTTCTTCCAACCAGCCGCACCCTCCCACCTCACAAAACCCTCAAGACTCACCACGCTGGTGAGGCCGCCCTTGACGGTCCTGCTGGTGCCGGCGCGTTCATTCACAAACCGCACCAGCTCCACCAACCCTCTCTCCCCACTGTACTTCTCCCCCTTCCCCTACCCCTTCCCCTCCCCTCCCCTCCCCTCCCCTCCCCTTCTCCTTTCCCCTCTACACGTTAAGACGTCTCAAAACTCACCCCACTGGTGAGGCCCCCCTTGACGGTCCTGCTGGTGCCGGCGCGTTCATTCACAAACCGCACCAGCTCCACCAACCCCCTCTCCCCACTGTACTGCTCCCCCTCCCCATGTGCCCCGCTGCCGGCTGGGAACCACTTGAGCGTGGGGAAGCCTGATATGGCGAACCTGGTGGTGGGCGAGGTATGGTATGGAGTGATGAATGGACTGAGTGGTATAGGCTTTGGATGTGACTAGACTACCATACCAAACATACCACATGGTAATGTCAACGGGCTCTTTCAACGCACCTGACCTTGAGCTCCCAGTGCTCGTCAATTTCCACCTTGGAAGCTCGTGGCAAGAGCACTGAGTGAAAGCGTTAAAAAAGGGTTAACCATTTCCTAATAAGATGCCACAACATGCCACGCCTCGCACCTGTCCTTGAATTCCTCGTGCTGGTCAGCATTCACCTTGGAGGGTGTTGGCAAGGTCCGTAAATCGAATCACCAACAGCTGTTTCTGATCTGGGTGGACACATTGAACCAGGATGGATATACCCTCTCTACAAGCCACGCCAAGCCTCGCACCTGTCCTTGAGCGCCTGATGCTGGTCAGCATCCACCTTGGCAAGCTCTCATCGACACATTTCCAACCAGGATAGCCCCTCTCCCTCCGCACCTGTCCTTGAGTTCCGTGTGCTGGTCTGCATCCACCTTGGCGATCACCACGCTGCTCTCCAGCCTGAATGCCTCCGCCACCTGCTCGTATACCTGCAGCCGCAGACAGACACCAGCAGTAAGACACGCAGGTAAGGGGGTAGGGACAACGGGCTAGGGTAGACCTTGGCGATCACCACACAGCTCTCCAGCCTGAATGCCTCCGCCACCTGCTCGTATACCTGCAGCCGCAGATAGTCATGCAGGTAAGGGGCAACAGGGCAACATACAGGGGGTTACAGGGGGTTACAGGGGGTTACGGGGGGGTACAGGGGGTTACGGGGTTTTGCATCGGATTGAAAGCCAAGGGTTGAGGTGACGCGTTGTTGCGCTGGATGATTCCATAAGAGGTGGAACGAAAGGGAGACGCCTTACGAAGCAACTGCGAGAGAGTGGAAATGCTCACAGGCGCGAGCTGCTTGCAGTGGCCACACCACGGGGCGTGGAACTCCACAAGCACGTGCTTGGTGGGGTCCAGAGCGACTGCATCAAAGGTGGTTTCTTACTCCACTCAGAAAGTCCTTCACCCTAGAGTCAAAGGTGAGTTCTACATGCAGGCACAATGCAGGGGCACGGTTCTCATCTCACAGGGGCGAGCTGCTTGCAGTGGCCGCACCACGGGGCGTAGAACTCCACAAGCACATGCTTGGTGGAGTCTAGAGCGACTGCATCAAAGGTGGCAGGTAAGAGGTCCACCACGTGAGACACGGCCATAGGCACACGCACACTCGTGCCTGCATGGGTGGGGTGTGGTGATGAGGTGATGTGGGGATGAGAGAAAATGAGATAGTGCTTGTTGCAGTTCAGAAAAATGGCATAAAAAGGTGGCTGGAGTGAGGTCGACCAGGTGTGACCAGGTGTGACCAGGTGTGACCAGGCGTGACCAGGTGTGACCAGGCGTGACCAGGCGTGACCAGGCGAGACCAGACGTGACCAGGCGTGACCAGGTGTGAGACCAGGTGTGTCCAGGTGTGACCAGGCGTGACCAGGTGTGACCAGGCGTGACCAGGTGTGTCCAGGCGTGACCAGGTGTGTCCAGGCGTGACCAGGCGTGACCAGGTGTGACCAGGCCTGACCAGGAGTGACCAGGTGTGACCAGGAGTGACCAGGCGTGACCAGGCGTGACCAGGCGTGACCGGCGCGACCAGGTGTGACCAGGTGTGACCAGGTGTGACCAGGCGTGACCAGGTGTGACCAGGCGTGACCAGGTGTGACCAGGCGTGACCAGGCGAGACCAGGTGTGACCAACGTGGCACTTTTTAGCATACACTAGATCCACAAACACCCACCCAACTTCATTTCACCCACCCAGATGCTTATGATTCACGCACCCAGCTTCTCATTCGCCCATGTCACCATGCTTGCAGCCTCCCTGCGCCCATCATAGCTGGAGGGAGTGAAAGGGAGAGATAGGGGGAGGGAGACGGGGAATAGAATCATATCAGGAGAGGAGGGTAAGAGCAGTGGAGCATCCATGAGGCATCAGGTACCGTCATGAGGCATCAGGTACCGTCATGAGGCATCAGGTACCGTCATGTTTCGACCAAGAGCAATCCAGAGCAACCATGCGACCATGCCATGCAAACACGTAACCATGCAATCATGCAATCATGCAGGTGCACGTGCCAGTCAAGTCCAAGAGAAAATTCGAATTGTAGCGTAATAAAGCGCAAACATCCAAACCCCCTCATAGCCTCCCCCAACCCCCCCAACCCACACACCAACCCCACTCACTCCGCTCCTCCACGCACTCACTCGACTGGGATGTCAGTGCCGGCAGGGAACCACTTGAGAGTGGGGTACCCGCGCACCC